ATTTGGGGTATTTGAGTGAGGGCGAAGAAGGGAACCGGGATGTTGATATTCGTGATTTCAGCATGCAAAGGTCGCCTGTGACTCCCCAATATTGGATTTAGTGGGATCAGGTTAGTCAATGTGCTTGATTGGAGTAATGATAAGTTATTAATTCTGAATCGTCTTGAAAGGCAAATCCTGACATGGTGATTCGCGTTTGGGTCCGAATAGGAATGATGCAGTCTGCGCACACCTACTTGCACCTACTTATTGCAGTCCACCACTTGTTTACTCATCATCAGAATACATAGCTTACTATCTAAATCTCAAAAGGCAACGGCGTTTGGGCCTTCAGAGCAAAAGAGATGTCAGATAGAACATTACCGCACGCCGCATCCATGCTCATACACGTTTGACGTCGAAGGTGGCTATCTATAAAGAGCTCGTCGCTGGACATGTTTTTAAAACGAAAAAGCAATAAGATTCATTCAATTGATCTGGTCTCAAAATGCCTAAGGTACCAACATGGCTAATGTACCTTACTAATGACTGCCATTCGTGTCAATTACATGATCCTCCTTCAACCGACATTCAATCACATTACCTAGACCACGGCAGATCCACACCTTGACAATCTTCAATCCCGCCGCCTTGACAACACGATCCAAGTCTTGGAAAGTCCTCTGTCTACCGTTGGGGCTAGCAGTCAGAACAAACCCTCCGATGAGCCCCATGGACTGGAACGCCCCGTAATTCTTCAATAACGGGGCAGGCGCATCAGGAAGCAGAGCGTCGCCGCACGTCGGGTGTGGTATGTACTCGCCAATAAGCAGACGCGACTTCCCAGGCGCCATGGCTTTCCTGATGTGCGTGAACATGGTGGTCAAGTCCTTGTCCTGCCAGTCGACAATGACGGACCGGAACCAGTACACGTCTGCTCCCTTGACGGGGTTCTCATTGAAGAAGTCATGGGGGGTAAGCTTGACGGCGCCCGAGGTCAATGCCTGCGGATCTGTCTTATTCCAATGTGCCGTGGCATGTGCGATCATGCCGGGCTGGTCCTGGACGATGCCGACAAAGTCGTTCTTGTGATGGGGGAAATTTGTACGCAAGGATTGGATCGAGCTACCGAGTCCGCCACCAACGTCGACGATGACGGCGCCGTTCCGGAGGGTAGTTTCCCAGGGGTACCCGCGCACATCGGTCAGGCCGTGGAGGTACTCGCCCAGCGAAGCGAGCCAAAAGTCGAAACAGTCACGCCACTCGGGGTGCGCGTTGAGAAACTCGAACTGTCCCATGCCCTTACCGATGCTCTTGGCAAAGGCTGAGTCTCGCGGCTCGTAGCTGGCGCAAAAGACGGGATCCTTGAGCAGTCCAGGAAGCACATCGGCCGTTGGAAAGAGAAAGGAGGCGAAGCGCACAGAGTTGGCGAGGCGTTCATCTGTAGCGAGGGCTGCCGACGCTTCGTCGTTGGCGAAGACATCATGGGAGGTCTCGGCAAAGATGTGGTGGGCGCAGAGAGTCCGCATAACGAAGCCCAGCTTGCTCGGATCGGCGATGCCCGTCTTGGAAGCGAGAGCGTCAAGCGTCATGGGGCCATTGGCGGCCAGGAGCTGGGGTATCTCCCACTCCACGACCATGTGAAGCGCGCGAGAAATGTAGTAGCTGTGGGCCAGATGGCCAAGACGCCACTGGGGCGTCAAGATTGCCGCCTCGAGCGATGCCGTGGCAGCGATGACGCGTTTACGGGCCTCTTCGGCCTTGGGGGTTTTCGGGATTCGAATATCAGGGTTCGTCTTGGCTCCATTGCTGACTGTGGCCTTACCGGCCGAAGAAGAAGACAGCTCGGCGATGAGGTCATTGGTTGAGGTGGTTAAGATGGCCAGAACCGAGCGGAGGTATGTGATTTGTTCATTTTGCTCAGCGATGCCGATGGCCATGTTGACTAAGAGTGACGAACGCCTTTTACCCCTGGTACTTGTTGACGTATTGGTATTGCGTATCACTTTGCTGTGTGCTTTTTCACCTGATTTCCTCTTAAAGCCAGGATATTACTTGCAATTGGCTTTGTAAGTTGAGGTGATATAGCTCAGGGATGGTAATGATAGGAAGCCCAACGGATTTCGGGCTCGGCACTGCTTGTGTTATGATCAACGTAAATGACGTTTTTATAGGGATATGAGTAATAGTCCCGGGCATCAGTGATTTCATTGCAGGGGGCTCTGGGCTATGAATATTATAGCGAGCGAAAATGGCTATCCTGAGAGTGAGGTACCACTTTGAGTCAGTCTGTGAAGCTTCGTATTCGTGCCCGGTCGGCTATCGTAAGAGCTCGGCTACCATGCGAGATTAGAGATGGCGGCGGTGGTTGCCATATGGTCCGATTGTCCGAACGCGAAGTTTATTAGACTTACTGTTTCTACACGGTGTTCTCACGAATCAGGCATCGCAGTGTTCTAGTTATGTCCATTACGCCTTGGCCTTGTCAAAATTATTGTTTCTACATTTCAAAGGTAGATGAAAACAGCATATTGCTTCAAAGCTTCTATGCTTCACGTCAAGTTGTTGATAGAGCCGCGCGGGGCAGATTTTCTCTTTCAGTCCGCGCCGGCGGCCAAGGCGTTCTGGAGAACGGACTCCGACGCCGTCGGGGCCGATTATTCAAGGCATACTTGTAAGCGGCGTACTATACGGGGAGATCCCCGCCTTGCATGAGGAAAGCGTTCTCACATGCAACAAGGTTAGGGCCCGTGGACCCGTCACGCCCATCAACCTTAGAAACTAGATACATCCCAAACTATAAGTGAACATCCCACCAGTTCGTCGAGATGGCCCGCCCGCCCGAACAAGAATCTTACCTTCCGCGTGTTCCGCATGAAACATGTATTTTAAACTTCAAGTACAGCCCTGTCACAAATCACGTCATATCGAGATGCCCATCATCCAGTTCTGAATTCCATGTCTAGACCAGGCCCTTGCCGCTTAACCTCAGGAACCCAAACACACCTTGATCAGTAATGAGTTTGGCCGTACCCTTAAACCGTACGCTTTCGCATTCGCTTTCCGAAAATGACCTAGCCTCAGTAGAGCGTTGGTTTATCTCAACTGCAACGAATGATTGAGATTCCTAAAAAGGCAACCCATAGTCAACTTAAGCATTCGACACATACAGGCCCAACAAACAGTGACTCAAGTAAACTCCAACGTAGGAGCTTTGGTGACTCGAGGCAGCCAAAAGCCAGAAATAACCATCAGAGCGGAAAAAGTCAACGTGATTACGGATAAACGCCAGACACAGAGTGAGGATATCAATTTTCGACCTCAATAGCCTCAAGAGGAAACTTATCACGCAAAGATGGCCTATCAAGCTATTGGCACTGCCAAGCGAAACATCTACAACGAATTTGACGCTCCCTCCTCCAATTATACTTCCATTTCGAAAGGAGGTCCTCTTGTCTCCTCATGGCTCCCCACCCTCCACAATACCCTTTCCTCGCTCCTAAGCTGGACGGGCTCCTACCCAGCCCACATCCAAGACGCCCATCTCGCCTTCGTGCGCGAAGTCGTAGTCCCCCGCCTGAAGCAGCCGCCTGCTGCTTCTGACAAAGCGAACTATATCCTTACTCACAATCAGTCTCCTTATGAAGCAAGCGTCGCGTTTTCACCTCACAGAGAGGCCAAAGTACGGTTCACAGTGCAGCCGCTCGTAGATCCCAGCCCTGGGGACGCGGGCGATGGCCCCTTAGGGCAGAGAGGACTGCGTCAGAAGCTGGAGGGTCTAGCATCTGCTTGCAATGCCAACCGTACTTGGCTGGATGCCTTCCTTGACTCTATATTTCTCACCACGGAGGAGGAGGCGGGCCTGATCAGAATGAAGCCTGGTGGTGCGCTGCCGCGACAAATTTGTTATGCTGGATTTGACCTCGAGTCTGAGGAGAACGCGGCGATCAGCATGAAGGCGTACCTTTTCCCCCAACTCAAAGTCCTCGCAACAGGCCGGTCGCTGGTGGACATCGCCGAGTCCGTCGCGACACGCCTTGCCGCGGGTGATGAAGCGATGTTGGCTGCGTGGGAACTACTCAAAACGTTCCTCGTCTCGCAAGGCGAAGACAACATCAACATTTACTTTCTCGCCATCGACTGCCTGGCGCTCTCCAACAAGCCTCGCTTTAAGGTCTACGTGCACACGCACGCCAACTCGCTCGCCTCAGCCCGTGACGTCTTCACTCTAGGCGGCCGCCTCCCTGCTTCCTCGGCCGACTTCCTCCCAGAGGTCTGGCCTTTACTCATGGACATGGAAGACGTTGCCCCACCTGAGATGGAAAGGCTAGAAAAGCCGCTCAATGATCCCGATAGCAAGTACTGCGGGCTCTGCTTCGCCTTTGAACTGGTACCGGGCAAGACAGTGCCGCAAGTCAAGATGTACGTCCCCGTCTGGCAGTACTCCCGTAACGAGGCCGGGGTCGTTGAGCGCTATGAGCGGATTATTCAGACGCAGGGGATGATGTCGGGGAAGTACGACTTTCGAGCTGCTGTTCGAGACGCCTTGTAAGTGTCATCCCTCGTCTCTTCATCGACGCGCTTAAGGAGAGTATGAGCGTTAATACTGACTCGTGGTGCTCTTCAACCTAAACAGCGGCGAAAATAGAGAAGCAGGTCTGCATACCATGGCATCGGTCTCCTCTTCTGGTAAGGGCGTGGGGTTCAGCGCCTATTTCGGGCCAAGGTTTTGGGAATGAGCTTCATTAGACGACTTTGTAGATGAATCAAGTCAATCTTAATCGTACAATGATGACATATTTCTATTCTGAAAACGACTTAGTTTGACCCTCAAGATTGCGAAAACGTTAAAACGACGAACAAACACATGGGCCGGTGCTGTAGGGTATGCGGCTTGATCACATCACATTGTGTTTTCCAGAAGAAGAAAGCATAGAAAGTTCATTTCATATCATAGACTAGCTTGATTATGGCTACAAGGTCTTCATGAACAACCGTTTTTAATTTTCACAGATTGAGCCTTACATGGCCTTTTCATGTTTGCGAGGCGCCAACTTGACCCAGAGAGGGTGCTTATCCCAAATGCCATAGCTTTTTTGGTCCAACCAGTCAAAATTAGGTTCAGCCAGTTCAAGGTCAAAATTGTACAGTAGACTGGCAATAATAAGCCTCATCTCGGGGTACGCAAGGCTGCGCGCAAGATTAGTCAACGGCTTCATACTGGAACCTGGGATGAGGAAAGAAATCAGAGAAGAGGATGGAACTCACTTCTTGCCAATACAGTCTCTCGGCCCCGCTGAAAACACCTTGACACAATCCCTCCGATCACCAGCATATTTCGCAGGCAGGTCCTTGCCCTCCAACCATCGCTCAGGCACGAACTCCTCAGGATCAACAAAGTTATCCGGATGATGCGCAATCGCGTATAGTGGGATGTCTACGCGCGTACCGGCTGGAACATAGCGGCCGCAGACGACACGACCTCCCGGAGGGACCATCCGCGGCATCGGCGTCGGCGCAGGCGGGTACACCCGCATGGCCTCCTCGATACACGCGTTGAGGTAGGGCAGCTTCCGCAATCGAGTAAAAGTCAAGTCCTCCTGCGAATCTTCAACGGCGGCGTCAAGCTCGGCCCGCAACGTGGCCATCTTGGACGGGTGCGTGAGAAGCAAATAAGTCAGAGCCGACGTGGCGGCTGTGGTGGTCTCAGTGCCGCCAATCATGAAAGTCGCAGCGTTGGAGTACATCTCAGCGCGCGAGATGCCTGGCTTCTTCTCACTGCCGCTATTCTGCATGATCATGGACCAGATGTCGCTGCCAGAGTCGTCACCGCGGTCCAAGCGCTTGTCGACACGATCCGTCGAGAAGCGGTTGTGTCGGGCGCGGCGCTCGCCGCTGCCGCCCCAGATGAGTTTCAGGAGCATGGGTCCTAAAGGTGAGTGCCAACCCATCATGGTCATGCCGAGCGTGACTGTCTTGATGGTTGAGTAGGTATCGCGAACCCACTGGCGCGCCGACTGGTCGCTCTCGAGCATGCCAAGCGGCTCGCCGTACATGAGATCGCCCATGATGTCAAAGGCGAGGTAGCTCAACCATTGCATGAGGTCGACACGACCATCACCATAGGCAGAAGAAGCAGAAGCTGAAGCAGGCTCCACGTTCTCATCGGCCAGCTTGTCCATCAAGTTGCGCACATGGCCCTGTACGAGACTCTCCTGCTTGAGCACGGCACGATCGGAAAAGGCGTGCGAGAATAGACGCCGCTGCCGCTGATGGTCGGCATCGTTCTCAGCCCGCACGATGCCCTTCTCGGGGGCCGCCATGTCCGGCCCCAGTCCGACATAGTCCTTTGGCATATCGCCACCTCCGCCCGCCTTGGCGTAGATGTCGTGCCAGGCATCAGGATGGCTGTAGCTCAGCTCATTTGGGCCAATGCGCACAACGTGGCCGTACTGTTTGTGGAGGAGCAGAGGCCAGCTGTGGTTGGTACCGTCGGCGCGGTGCCAGAGCCATGGGATGGTAGTGATGCGCGCGAGTAAGGGGCCCGGGTATCCCGCCAGGGGGTGAAGAGTCAGGTAGTAGATGGTGCGTAGGACGAAAAGTCCGAGAATGGCCGGGCCGAGAGTCCAGAGGAGTCTCTGAAGGACCGACAGGTTGATTAGGTGAGCGGTGAAGGGGATGATGTCGAGGAACATGGCGAGCTCGAGTTGTTGTTACTGAGCGGGGAGTTCTAGACCGAAGTTCCGAGGGACGTGCTGGATCAACTTGTTTTCTCTTTATTGCTTTTTGACTTTCCTTCGTTCCGGATCGTACAAGTAGTAGTGGCTTTTCTCCGAATCTCCGGAATAGAGGACTGATCTGACGAGAAATAATCAAGACTCAAGAGAGGTCGTCGTCACTGTCCGAGTCCAGACCTCTTCAACAATGAGGGGTGACAATGACAACTGAAGCTGATATGGCCTGGGTTGTTAGTAAGACCACAGCAAGGTGGAAAGCGAGTATCCCAAAAAGGATTTCCCCAACGGGCAACTCATATAATTGACAGACTCAACCCCGAAGCCGAAAGTGTACTGGGTGTCGTTATTTTCGCATTCGCAACGTCCGAGGGTCCCGAAGCAAGGGGCAGGGCAGGGCAGAGGCGTTTTGACGTAGCCGTGTGCCTGAAGGGCCGACAGCTCGCAGCTCAGAGCTGGACGGGGAGGCTCGGTATGAGTTCCGCTGGCAAGTAGCTAGGTTCTTCTGAACTTCTGAAGTCGATCAAGAGAGCAGCGAGAGCTTTGAACGGCTGGAAGCTTTCTCGCATAATTTCCCATATGACGGAATCGGACATTATCACAGGAGAATAATTTTCCTAGGTTCAAACTCTATCATCTTTAATGTTGGCGAAAAGGTTGCGCCAAGGCCCAAGATGCCCCGTCATCCTGCGCTTGGACGAGCGTGTATTCGTATTTCTAGAGAACCATATTTGACTCAATCAGGCACCGAATACCCGGTCGTGCACGGTGTGTAATCATCCTCGCTACCCAAAGTGGCTAGTATAGATGGCATGATCGGACGGTTGTCAACCACACCGTCGGGGCACTGCCGAACAACAAAATGTTCTGCTTTGCACTGCCGATCCATCATGCCGTATGTCTGCCTTGCTTGGGTCTGGGTCATTACTACGAAATGCCGTCTCTTGGATAAACGCCGGTTCGGTATGTGGAGGCGGAGGGAGATATCATCTGATTACGAAATACTTTCGGAATTAGAGCCAGGTTGTGAAGATACCTTTGAGGTTATTTCCGAGTTGAGGCCATGGATTGTATGCCGCAAGCTTCCAAGCGCTGTTGCCCAGAATAGGCAATACGTAACAAGATCGAGGGAGAATCTCTCTCTCTCTCTCACTTTCTGTTGCGGTGCTCTCGGCATGTATTTACATATATTTACTCACTTGCCTATTCTGATCATTCAGGAGGATCGACCGAACCAACAATTTTGAATTATATGCTTAATGAATCACGAAGTCCACGTATTTTGCCTCACATTTGGTGATCACTGATCTGGAACCAGTGACTTCGCCTTTCTCTTCGTCTTTGTTGTAACAACATTACCTAACTTACATATTACATTGTTCATTAATACTTCTTTCATCAAGTCACTTAACATGTCTGTTTATCAAAGACCCTCAACGCCACTCTCGGCTCCCACTTCGCCCATACAAATTTCTTTTCAGAACAAATCACAACAAAATGTAATCAAGTCCAAGAGCTCTTCAATCTTTCTCAACGTGCCCCAAGCATTCTCAACTGGAGGCATCATCACGCCGCCGGAAACTCCGGCAACAAAACAACAGCACGCCACAAACGACTCGTACGCCACCTTAATCAACTGCCCCATCTCCAAAGCCAGCTTCCTCCTCGCCCAGGCCTCCCTGGCAACGGCGCTGGCCGGACGTACGTCATCGTCGACAGAATTCAAGTTCCGGGACCCCGAGGCCTTCGGAGCGGAGGCGGGGACGGAGACACGAACACGAACACTCCGTTTCGGCACGGGCCTCGATGGGTGCTTTACCAGCACCAGGGGCTTCCTTGGAAGCCAAGCAATGCCCCCAACCAACGTCATCAACCCTAGTATTCGTAATTCTTCAAGGAGCTTGGGCCAAATCCAGCGCTTGCCTGCGTCCTTGAAGGCGTGGGAGGTGGTTCATGGAAACTTGCCGCGCTTGCTTCGAGCACGGCGAGTACGTCATGCTGTTGACGGCCTGCGCGAGCGCGGCCTGTCTGCAGATGGCAGAGACGCGTGGGATGACTTGGAACAGCGTCATTTGGCGCGAGCGGCACTCGTGTTGAGCGCGCTGGCCCACGCTTACATGTTTGGCGAGGAGCAGGATAAGAGCAAGGAGTGTGAAGGACGATCACAAGTACCGCGCCATGTTCTCGATCCATGGGAGAGAGTTTGCAAGGCCTTGGGGAGAAAGCTCACCGGGCGGGTTAGTACACGAAGTGATATCCCCAACAACTACAGAAGCTAACTTGCACAGGTGCCCGCCGACGACGTCCTCAACAACGCCATGGGGAATGCTGCTTTCAACCTAAGCAGCGCTTACTTTGGCCTCCCAGAGGAGCGTCTCTCCTCAGGTCTCCAAGGCACAATGGAGGGCATCTTTGCGCCCGCCCTCTCAGCCATGGCCCTCGCGCAGAGCGGTGTGCTAGCCGACCACCCAGACCAAGTGACACACTGCCTCGAAAGCCTGGCGGCTACCATTGTTCAATGCGCCAACGTCTTCGAGGCCATGAGTCTCCGTGATGCGGCAAATTTTGACCCCGTCGTCTGGATCAAGACGTACCCAGCAATGGGCCGCGCCGTGACGCCCGGCGAGCTGGGCAACAGCGGCGCCGACACGCCGCTCTTCCATGCGCTTGATGTCTTCATCGGCCGTCAGGATGTCAAGGGCGACTTGACCAAGATGCAGAGCGACCGCAAGGCCACGCTGCCTGCCAACATCCGCGCCTTTCTGGATGCCCTCGGCGACAGAGCAGCGAGCGTGAGAGACTACGTCGCCGCGTGTGCTGCCCGTGCTCCACAGGGTGTGTCCTCAGAAGAGCAGTCGCAATACCGCCATCTCGAGGCGGCGTGGGACGGGCTTCTTCAGATGTACGTCTGGTTCCTCGAGCGGCACCGCGTCAAGGCCATTGGCGTCACGGGCGTGTCGCTGAACACGGGGCGACACTCGACGAGCAGCGGCGTCAAGAGCACCGACCAGTGCAAGCATGCCGGCTCGTCGTCAGCAGAACAAGGGAAGGGAAAGCCAAAGATGCGACCCGAAGCTATGCTCAGCATGCAGATGAAGGCTGGCATGGCGTCGCGACTTGGCGGTCGGCCTCTGTGGCAGGATGCACGTATCCAGTCGCAGACGGCGTACGAGGGCAGCACGGTGGTCGAAGTGAAGTTGGATGCTAAGTTGCCGCTCGAGGCAGGCGATCGAGTGCAGATCTGGCCGCCGAGGAAGAGGAGAATCCTCAACCGGACTACTTCGCAACAGCGGAGGTTGAGGGCCTCTACCCCTCCAGACGATCATGACGCGCCGTCAGATGAAAGCGTCGAAGATGGTGATGGCGATGAAGCTGAACCGAGATTCTACTCCATCGCTCGTGTGGCGAAAGACTCTACTAGAGAGGGAGGCATGACCATCACTTTGACAGTCAGTCAACACTCACCCGAGGGCATCGTCTCCTCGTTTTTGAGCAATGCAGCTCAAGGCACACATTTGCGTCTTCGCCCATGGCCTAGTCTGCGTTTTCGCCAGCCACACGACCTTTCTGTGCCTTTGGTCTTGATCGGCCAAGGTAGCGGCATCGGACCCTTGGTGGGCTTCCTCCACGAGCGGGCGGCATGGGCTCAGCAGCGTCGGGATAGCACCGGCGACGTGGGCGAGCTGCTTCTCGTAATCGCAGCCAAAACACGCCGCCATATCCCCTGCTCACTCAATAGCCTGGAACATCTTACCAGAATCTTGCCGTTGACTATCACCCTGGCTCTCAGTCAGGAGTCACATCACTTCAGGATCCGCGGTGGGATTCGGACTCAGCTTCCCGAGGAAGCACGACGCCTGACGCGCCATTTGGTAGAGCACCGGGACTCCATCCATCATCTCGTCAAGGATGATGGCGGTCACGTCTTCGTCTGTGGTAGCTCCGACTTTGGAGCTACGGTGACAAGCAGTCTCGAGCTAGGCCAACCGCAGCAAGAGGACCAAGGTGTGCACTGCTTCGACGCCAACAACTACACGGATATCCCATCACCTCCCGCCCACTGGGACAGACTCCATCAAGATCTCTTTACCACCGTGAAAAGACCATCTAAGCCACAGTCACCAGCTTACCCTTCTACTACCTCGTCCTCCCTCCCCATCATCACCCCCTCCGAGCTTGCAGCCCACAACTCAATCACCTCAAGCTGGGCCGCCATCGACGGCACAGTCTACGACCTGACGCCCTTCCTCACCATCCACCCAGGCGGCCCAAAGACTCTCCTCGAGTCAGCGGGCACCATCGCCGATGTTCGCTTCGCCGAGACGCACGGCGGACCGCACGCACAAGAAATCAGGGGCTATCTGCAGCAGTACGCCATTGGGCGTCTACCTCCAGCCAAATGTCCCAGAGATCTCAGTACGCTTCAGGTCACGGCCGCGAAACTGACGGATGCGCTGGTGAGGATGCAAAACGCACTTACCAACAATACGGCGTTTGACGCGAGCCGCGGATCTGTGCCCGTTTATGTGTACGAGGATGCCCTGCTTGTATTTGCTGACGGCTTGGACGGCGTGATGGCCATCCTTTCGGACGTCATCACAAATGACGCGACCGGAGACGCCTCAGAGCTGAAAGAAACCGTATCCAAGACACAAACGCTGTTGAGAAAGGCATTTTCCGACCTGAAAGACGGCTGTAAGCGTTACATGCAAGCCGCCGGCTCTAATGGCTCTGACTCCTTGCTCGACGAGAGTGAGGGTTTGATCCAGAGGTTGCACAAGGAGCCTATCAACAAGATCCATGAGGCTATCAACGCTTGTAAGAAGGGTCTGGGTGAGATTGAGTCTCTAGCTTCCGCAGAAGCGAATAGCAGCATCGACATCAGCGATGTCTTGGAGGAGTTCACCACTACTCTCACAAGTCTTGCCCAGAATCTGCTTCGTGTCATCTCCCTGGCCGAGGAAACCGGCACCGCGGATTTGGAGCAACGGACCACCTGCCGTGAGGAGAACATTTACGCAACGCACTCTGCGATGCCTAGCGTTGATCTTTGAGCGTGTAACAGTGCATGCAATAAGCCTTGTTGTTCCTAGCGATTTCTTTTGAGCGTTTCTAGTTACATGTAGATATTTAGAGTCATATAGCCTGTTCTGATCCTTTCAAATCAAAGTTTCATGTTCATCATAAATATGCTCCTCCCCTAGAAACTCATACAGAATGTTGCCACCATCTACGCATGGCTTACTACTTTCTGTCATTTCGGAGATCAAGCCTTGAGACCGGAAGGGTTTACCGATGCGAATGCACACTTCCACACAGAGTCATCGCCTTCATAAAGATACTTACCACGCTACCTACATCAAAAGCTTCCAAGTCTGTCCCCAAAATCTTACAAAGCCCTCCCAACATACCGCCTCTTCCTCTGCCTCCTCGTAACCGGCACCCGCGGCTCATCCGGCCCCAACCCAATCAATCTCCGCCAGTGAAAATGCAGCGGATTCTCCTGACACGGCGGCACCATCTCATACCCAAACGGCGCCGCTTCCAAAAAGTCCAGCGGTCCGGTATCCATCTCCGGCAGATTATTCTGGAACCAGCGCAACGACACATGGAATTTCGAAGGCGGCATCTTGAGCCTCCCGAACAGGTGCAGCGGCTCGAACCACTCCTCAAAGGGGGTCGGGTAGCGCGCGTAGTACGGGTACGCCCAAATCCGAAGCTCCTGGAGGCGCGAGAGTTTGTCGGCGGCGGCTGTCCACGTGTCGACCCATTTGATTCTCTCGGCGATGACTTCGTCTACTTCCCGGTCCATGTATGTCTCGATCGGGGCTCGCCATGTGAAATGAAGTCTCTTGATGCGGGCTAGGGAGGTGGTGGGGGTGGTGTCGAGGAAGCGGGTGAGGGCTTCTGTGTTGATGAAGGAGAAGGTTGTGTCGTTGTAGATGGAGTCGATGGCTTCTTCATGCATACGCTTGCAAGTGAGAAGAGTCGCGAGGAAAGGGCTAAACTCCTTCACAAGAATCTGACGACGTTTATCCTTGGATGTCTCACTCGTTTTCTCCCCCTCATCGCCGTCTCCTAATGAGAATTGCTGGAGTTCTCGTAGAATAGGCGGCTCCTCCTCACACTTCCAATGGTTGCACCACGACGAAACAATACGAAAACGCCAATTCTGAATCGCCTCGCGTTCTTCCTCGGAGCCGGGCCCCACGCCATCTTGCAAAGTCGCCGGATCCGCAGCCGGCGTGTTGAGTACGCGGGAGAGCTCGTCTTCACGGATGTCTTCGGCGCCCAGGTCGGCGATGCACGGGCAGTGAGATAAGGGCGCTAGAGCGGATGCGCTGGATTTATACACATGTTGGATTGGTCCGGCGACTTGCCATAAGTGGCTGTAAATGTTTTGGCGAATCTCGAGAGGGAGAGATGAGAAGAAGGCTGATTGTGGTTGTGGGTGAGGTGCGGATTTGGTCGCGGTCGTTTGAGACTCATGCACGTCTGTGGTCTCAATCTCGGGTGAGTGAGTATCCCCGCCATCATTTTCCAGATTGGCCATCATATGCGATTGCAGAATGAGACGATTTATGAGGCTGAAGTACTCTGGAATAAGATGCAGTGAGTAATATTGCACCCAGGTGAAACTACCCGAATCTGAGGTGAGATGTTGCGTGGCATCAAAAGCGTTGACCACCACCACCACCACCACCACCAACACCCCTCCTCCGATCCTTTGGTGAGGGGCCTCCCCGAACAGGCTTAACGTGGCTTACGACATTGCACTCATCCAATAACGATAAGGCTGGTCCTGAATACGGGTGTCTATTGCATGAAGTTTCCTCTGATCCAACCAACAACTCATTGGAAATACCTACAGATGCAACCATCTCACTTGTTGTATCTTTGCGATGAACGACAATGTCGGCAGTTTCAGCGAGAGAGACAACAAGGTTTTCCGCGAGTAGACAAGAACATCACCAAACCATTACGTTAACCCTGATGCCCCTCGGTGGAGTTTACAAATCTACGGCAAATGATTGGTCAATGCGACCATCTGTTTGTGTGTCTTACCCCAGACCATCGGGATCCGGCTGCCAGGGATGATGAGTGGCAGCACGCAGCACCGCCAGCACCGCCAGCATTCTTTTTGTATCTGTGCTCTGGGCTCTTATCTCTTTCTCAGGGCAACCCCTAGACCGCCTTGTCAAACGCAAAGTTTACAAATTACCCATCATCAAAAGTTGAAAACTTCTTCTCCTGCTCCTCTTCTCTTCTTATACGTACGACAAGCTCAAGAAAGTCATTCAACTGACCGGCGTTGCTCCGTTCCAGCAACAGCCATGAGCAGCCGTCCTATCCAGCGGCTCGCCCAGCTGCGTGGGGCATCGTCATCGGCTCGACGCGCTTCAACGCGGCTCGCCGGCCCCAACTACACCACTCTCTCGGCCAACAACCCGACAACTCGGCACCAGATCCGACACACTGGGAGAAGCCCAGCAGCAGCAACAGCAACAGGAGTATTCATAGGTCTTCGGTCGACGAGGCTATTCGGAACTACAGCCCAGCGCCGCAATGAACCCGCATCCGGATCCGCAGCAGAAGACGAGGAAGATGCGGGAAGCTACAGCGAGGCGGACCACGAGCACGCCGTCATCTCGACGTTTGATCTCTTCTCCATCGGCATCGGCCCTTCGTCGTCTCACACCGTAGGCCCCATGCGCGCCGGCAACATCTTTGTCGCCGATCTAGCGGAAGCCAATCTCCTACACAAGGTCAATAAGATCCGCGTCTCCATCTACGGCAGTCTGGCGCTGACAGGCGAGGGCCACATGACGCCGTCGGCCCTGCTTCTCGGCCTCGAGAGCGCCGATGTGGAGACTGTCGACACGGCGTACGTGCCGGAGCGCTTCACCGAGATCAAGGCGAGCAAGAAGCTCTTCTTGGGCCAGGGTCTCTCGGATGGCAAGGGCAAGGAGGTCGCATTTGACTATGAGCGGGATTTCGTCTGGGAATGGGGTCGCAAGTTGCCTATGCACAGTAACGGCATGCGGTTCACCGTGTTTGATGACGAGGGTTACGTCTTGGCGACCAACGACATGTTTAGCGTCGGCGGAGGGTTCGTCGTCAACGGTGCCCTGTCTATCAACCCGGACGCATCACCAGCTTCATCTTCGTCCATGACGCAGGTGGAAAGCCCGGACGGCGAGACTGCCGGAAGGCATCCGGCCGATTTGGCGGAGAACATGTTCTACAAGGAGATCCGCCGCTCCGATGCCGCGGGAGACCGTCGGACGGGTGCCGAGGTGAAACCCCTCGACGAAGCAAAGGAAGACCCGATGCTGCTCGAGGGCGCGCAAGGAGACGTGCTCTCCCCCATCGCTTCGACAACCGGAAACGGCGTCGACGAACACGAAGGATCCGAGGGCTCTACCAACGAGCCGTCTGGCCCCCGGTACCCCTTCCGCGACGCCACCAGCTTGCTCGCCCTCTGCCGCAAGCACAACCTCACCATCGCCCAGCTCGTGTACGAGAACGAAAAGAGCCACGGGTACACGGACGAGGAGATCTACCACAAGCTCTTCAAGATCTGGCAGGTCATGGACACGAGCATCCTCGAGAGCGTCCAGGCACCGCTCGACACCAAGCTCCCCGGCTCCCTCAAGCTCCATCGCCGCGCGCCCGCCCTCTACCGGAGGCTGACCCGAGGCCTCTACTCCACGGCCGGCCACACCTCCCCCAACCCCTTGGACAAGGCCACCGGCGAGAAGGCCTCCCTCCCCGGCTTCTCCTCCGCGTCCACCCCGGCAACAATCTCCAAATCCAACGTCCCCGGCTTCAGCGTAGGCCGCCGCCAACCGCCGCGGATCCTAGGCTCCCTAGACCACCCCATCACCCCCTCCCCCTCGCGCCGCACAACCTTTCCCACCATGGACTACCTCACAGTCTACGCCATCGCCGTCAACGAAACAAACGCAGCCGGAGGGCGCATCGTCACGGCCCCCACAAACGGCGCAGCGGGCATCATCCCCGCCGTCCTCAAATACACCATCGAATTCATCTCCGACGACCCGGAGCGCGACATCCCGACCTTCCTCCTCACCGCCGCAGCCATCGGCATGCTCTACAAGCGCGGCGCCACAATCTCCGCCGCGGAAGGAGGATGCATGGCCGAAGTAGGCGTCGCGTGCTCCATGGCGGCGGGCGCGTTCGCGGCGTGCATGGGCGCCAGCCCCGAGGCCATCGAGCAGGCGGCCGAGATTGGCATCGAGCACAACCTCGGTCTGACGTGCGATCCGATCGGCGGGCTGGTGCAGGCGCCGTGTATCGAGCGGAATGCGCTGGGCGCGATCAAGGCGATTTCGAGCGCGAATCTGGCGTTGAGCAGCGAGACGGGGACGCAGAAGGTCAGGCTTGACGACGCGATTCGGGCGATGCGGTTGACGGCCAAGGGGATGCGGAATGAGTTCAAGGAGACGAGCTTGAGTGGTTTGGCGACGAGCGTGCCGTTTAATATCCCTGTCAGTGTGCCTGACTGCTAGGCGGGGGATTTGCTTTTATGAGTCTCAGTACGGGTCGTCTTTGATTTGTTTGATATGATGATAGACTTGGGAATAGATTTACGGCCTTTCGGTGGAAGAGAAGCATCAAAGGGGGTTCAGGCTTGAACCACTACCATTCCTTGATTTGCGGGTTTGTGTCTTCATGAGGGAAACTGGAGTCGTCCAATCTAAGAAAACAAAAATAGAGGGATCGTGGTCAATCAAATTGAGGTGGTATCTGACACCGGCATGCTGAGTCTGGGCATGAGCTGCGAATGCCTTCTAGGATATTTGGGAGTTCCTCTCTGAAGAAGCTCCGAGTCTCCGAGACCCACACATCGCGAGTCCTCCACAGCAAATACCTCAACGGGTCAGACCAGCGACTCGCAAATGCTGCAGATTTCAACCTACCCCTGCAAGAAACATCCAGCCAAGAATCCAAGATCCTGAATAACCTGCTGAACAACGATAACGGAGATGAGAACTGACAAGAGCCATTCCCATCATGCTGGCAACTCCGCCAAGCTGTCATCAAGACCGGAGACGCTGACGATCCTCCTGCAGATGGATCTTGAGCTCTCTGGCGTCGCCAACCGTCCAACGAATCACACGGCAACTTGGCCGAGCGGTCTAAGGCGCCAGACTCAAGTTTCCCATCAAATGGTAACTTCCCCATAAGCGGGGCGTATTCTGGTCTCGAAAGAGGCGTGAGTTCGAATCTCACAGTTGTCACTCGCTACCTTTTGCCATTGTCCGCAAAGTCTTAGATCACCAGGGACGAAACTTTTGTTCTCCTTTTTCTCACAGCTGGATGGCATATCACGCTGTCAAAGAGAGGTTCAGGTGTGGCTGGCGAACTTGTTGTGGTGTATCACCGTGTTATTTCCTCTCCCCAAATACCCGGCATGGCCTCTTGAACAACGGGGGTTAATTGACTCAAGTATCCCTATAGCCACCCAAACCCATGGTTCGTGAGGGGAACTTCCTCCAAAGGATTCGACCTTCTTTCTGCATGCTTCATAGAATGACGATTGACAAGTATCCTTCCCGTCCTACCCGCTTTTCCGGTCTTCTCCCCGCGCGACGGACACACATCGCAACGACGTAAACTCTTTTCCGACTCATGGGTTCGTTCCATCATGCAAACAGGGGTCTCTGGCCACACCCACCCACCAGGGCCCCCAAAAGCCAAACTCAATGGGGAGACAAAGAAACAAACTTGGGGCTACCGCCAGGCTACTCAAAGTGTAGTCTCCGATTGATTGTGCTCTAGAAATATCGTGAGCTGTAGCCATTTTTAAGCTTAAACAGTTGTCCTTAATCTCTACTTAGATCCAAATAGACTACTGATCACGACTGCCGGTGAGTCAATCAAAGATCATTGGGAACCGAACCGGCCTCCGAGCCGGAGCTCGGGAATGGCGTCTCGCCCGGACCTTCGTGTCTACGGATATCCCCTCCCCTCCCCTGCCAAGTATTGAACCCATCGTCAATGACTGGAGCTCTGGCGTCATCTCCGCCTTTTGAAGTACCGGATCATGGATGGTATGGTAGCAACATCGAAGAGCAGTAGATCATCGAAGCCAGGCCAGCCCAGGTCCGTCTCCCGCCCGGCTTTTGGAGCTTCTGGGTTTCGTTGTCTCTTCCCCGCACCCCGCACCGCACCCCGGGTTCTTTACCGTGCAGTGGTTGCATCCTTCACCTCGATGTTTTGTTTCTCATCTGCTATCTTACTCGGGAATCCGTGTGCCATCCCGGGATAGCATGCATCCTGCTGTCTCTGAGCCGGGGTTGAGATATGAGACAGATGCTTCGAGTACGACTCAGGCATCGCAAGGTGGACAATGTGGAGGAGGAGGAGGACAACTGCCGTTAATTCCCTCGGACAACCCGGGTAATCTCCGCCGAACAGGACAGTCCGCTCTGCCCAGACTTTTTTGGAGTCTACACACGCAGTGGTCTCCTGGGATCAACATGAACAAGGGCCCAAGATGCAAGCAAGCTAACCACCAATTCCACGCCTTTTTTATCCCTCATACTACCATACCCTGCTCTTGGTATCCGTACCTTTACGTACATTTCATATTGCTAGGTATCCGTACGCCTCAGATCCGCGCCATCGGTGAAGACTAGACTCGAGGACGCGGAGAAGTAGAGACCATGGACTTGGCGCCGGGGTATAAATCAATCCTCACCTGCAACACCATCCCACCATTGACCACCTGGTCGTCGTCGCTCCAGAATACCTCCGTCATGGCCTCCTCCTTCTCCATCGCCGCCAGCCTCGCCGGCGCAGCGAGTCTGCTCCTTTCTTCTTCGGGAGTGCACGCCCAGGTTGCGGCGGCACAGAGGGCGCTCCCCGACAAGGCGCAGATTATCGACCAAAAGAGCTTCAATGTCTTGGAGGTCGTCCCGCCTCCGTTAGAATTCAATGCTTCTTCGGTATGTCACCCGGAAGTCACTTTATTATGCGTGATGAACATCACTGAGGGAGGATCCGAGTCATTGACATCATTTTTTGTTAGGTATTCCTCTGGCCGGGCGTCACGCATGAATCTCTCACGGAGAAACCATTCCACATTTACGACCCGGAATTCTACGACATTATCGGTAGCGACCCGTCACTGACTCTCATCGCAACCTCGGAGACGGATCCCATCTTTCACGAGGCGGTAGTATGGTGTGTCAGATCCCTCCTTTCCCATCGCTCACTCATACGCCCTCTCACTCACGTACTCACTCACTCACTCACTCACCACTCTGCCGCCCTGACCTGTGAGTAACAACAAGCTAACAAAACCGCCAAAGGTACCCCCCAACAGAAGAAGTCTTCTTCGTCCAAAACGCCGGACCCCCCGCAGCAGGAACCGGCCTCAACAAGTCCTCCATCGTCCAAAAGATCCGCCTCGCCGACGCAGAGGCTCTTCGCAACGGGTCCCTGGGCACCAAGGAGGTCACCGTCACCACCGTCCCCTCGAACCCGCAGGTCATCAACCCCAATGGTAAGGACTCATCGTACTCTCTCTTTGCGCGATATCAGCTGAAGACTGATCTCAACTAACACAACGCAGGTGGGACAAATTACAAAGGCCAAATCATCTTCGCCGGTGAAGGCCAAGGCGACCGCGTGCCCTCGGCGCTGTACCTCATGAACCCGGTGGAACCCTACAACACCACAAGTTCGTCCAAACCTCCCCTCCAACTTCTTTTCCCACCTCAATCTGAAAAGCTAACCATCCACCTCAACCTTCAGTCCTCGTGAACAACTACTTTGGCCGCCAATTCAACTCCCTCAACGACGTCGTCGTCTCCCGCCGCAACGGCGACATCTACTTCACAGACACCCAGTACGGCTACTGGCAACACTTCCGCCCCGCGCCGGGCCTCCCGAACCAGGTGTACCGCCTCAACCCCACCACGGGAGCCTTGACTGTCGTCACGGATGAGTTTGTGTCGCCGAACGGTACGTTCATCTACTTGGGTTCCCTGAGCCCGGATCAATGTGTGAGGTAGTCACGAGAAAGCTGACTTGGTAAAACTACCTAGGCATCACCCTCTCTCCGGACGGCACATACGCCTACGTAACAGACACGGGCATCTCCCAAGGCCAATTCGGCACAAACTTTACAAAGCCAGCCACAGTGTACGGGCCCATCTTCCGTCCCTCCCTTCTTCCCCCCCTCCCCTCCCCTCTGCTTGACCCTCACGCATTAGACGCCACCTAACACCCACCACAGCTACCGCTTCGAAGTAAAAGAAGACGGCACATTTGAAAACCGCAAAATCTTCGCCCACACGTCCGCCCGCCTCCCGGACGGCGTCCACTGCGACTCCAAGGGCAACGTCTACGCGGGCTGCAACGACGGCGTCCACGTCTGGAACCCGTCCGGCAAGCTCATCGGTAAGATCTACACGGGCACCACGGCGGCGAATTTCCAGTTCGCGGGCGACGGGAGGATGGTTATCACGGGGCAGACGAAGCTGTTTTACGCCACGTTTGCAGCGTCGGGTGCTGCGTTGACGTGAGGTGGGCGGTGGTGATGATGGATGTTCGGGATGAGAGTGGTCGTGATACCTTGAACCTAATCAGGTATTAATGCATACAGCTAATTGGATACAAATCTTCAATCCGAACAACCCGGGTCTAGTAACCCGACGACATTTCGGATCAGCTTTCTGCGTTAAATTCATTTCTCATACATCATCTAATATATATAGTACGCATCGTCCTCTGTGCCCGGCATGGAGTCTGCATTGATACCACGGCGGCAACACAAACACCCGTTCAACCTGGTTGAGCAGGATCCCGTCTTCCCTCGTATACTTCCTACCCGTTGAGCGAGTCTGTAAAGCTCTTCAGCCACGGCAAGTCGATCGTGTCGACGTTTGGATCTTGGACCTTGGTATCCCAGACACTCTGCAAAGGTTGTTAGCACCATTCACGTACGTCGTCTTCACAAATTGAACGAACCCAGTCCAAGGTCATGGCCGTGTCCACTCCCGTCATAGGAATGGGAATGGACTCTGACGAACTCGCGCTTGGCATGAACCCCCACCGAGCAGATCCATCTTGTTCCATCCATGCCGGTTCCACGGATTGCTGAGGCATGTACCCAGGTATAACGGGATCTATGCATGTTCAAAGTTAGCTGGGGGGTACGTGAACACGATGTCCATGGAGGCACCCACTGCATGCGAGTTGATAAGACGGGCGCAATCCCATGTCGGAACCAAGCACTCCGTCCGAGCTAACGGTCTCTGGAGTGCTCTCGTAATGGTCTCCAGTCGACAAGCTAAGCATACGAGACAAAATCTTGAAAGCCCGAACGGCTTCACTGGAATCCTTCCGGTTGGACTTCCAGATATCTCTAGACGCCTGAAGAATGGAAAGGAGAGGCTCCTTGTCAATGTGTATCCCAGTCGTGTTGCGACCTTCAGGGCGTAGAAGGTGAGACAACTCCAGGCAGAGCATCATATCCGCAAGGAGAAAGTCGTGAGTGCTCAGGCTGGAGACGAACCAGCGCTCGCGTGATAGGCGACCTCCAGGCTTATACTCCTCGTTGACGTTGAACTGAATTTCCAAAATTTTGGTGGCCGCATTGATGCAGGCGAACCTGGAGTGCGCGAATCGGATATCCTTGCGTCCAAGCGTGAAGTACCGGCGGTGAAGGACGATACGGGCCTTTAGGTACATGAGCTCTATCCAGAGTCGTTGCATGATCAAATCGACAGTGTCTTCGACGGAAAGAGTGAATGATCGATCTCGTAAGACAGGAGGGATTTCTTCATGAGCCCGTTCCAGCCGCTCATCCAAGCGTAGGACCTCTCCGTAGTCGGGACTGCTGCGACTTGCCATGCGCGAGACAATATCGCTAAATACCACCACAAGTCTGGATTTCACAATCGTGTACATCACTGGCGTCCGCTCGACCTCGGTCATCGGACGCTCAGGGGGTAGCTTGACTGTAGCCTCGTCAAAATCCCTGTCGTGGAGATTGCGAGGTAGACCTGCTTACATTAGATTTTTAGAAACCATATGGAGAAGAAAGATCAAACCTGTGTCAAAATATTGAGACTGCACGTTAGACGGAAGTCCGAATTGGAAGGCTATGAGCACGTCGATCTCGGTTACGATTGTCCAGAGGCGCTTGCGCATCTCGCCTTCAAAGACTGACATGCCCTTGAAATGGCTTGGGTCTCTGTGCATTCCTGAATGCATTGCCAAGCGAACGATGATGGACATGAGGATTGCCTATTTTGCGTCAGTTCTGCGGGAATTCGTCCTCAGAGTGGAGAACCTCATGGCATACCGTGCTCTGCTGTGCATCGGCTAGTCGGAGATACTCTGATCCAAAGTACAGCATCATCGTTTCGACCTTGTACTTCCCAGGGGTCGTGTAGTTGTCTAGGGCTAGACACCGCGCACAGTGACTACGGAAAATGTCGGCAACGTACGTTGCCGGTCCCAAGTCGCCCGGGACCGCTTCGTCTGCCCTTAGACAGAAGAAGGCCGCATGGTTGATCATGGCGAACAAGAGTGCAAGCCAAGTTAAGGAGAATTGACTTTGGTCTTCCCAAAATTCATGAAACTAGGATATGTAAGCGTCTACGCAATAGTTGAGTGTGATCCGTCAACCCTTACCTCCTTCCAGAAAGTAGGCACATGGAACATGCCTACGCGGGGGATACTGAGTCAGTAAAATACGCATACAGTCGAACTTTCAAGACGTACACCAAGCAGGTTCTTTTCCCTCAAAAAATCGTTCAATCAACCTAGTCGTGATGTCCCTTGGCGGCAACAGTGCCATGAGAGTAGTCATGTTGGCCGTTGGGAATGCCCCTGAAAGAAGAAACGGCACGGTAGGTTTCGAGGCAGCATTGCTGGCGGGTATGTCTTCAGGCTCTTCGGCGTCACATACTACATATTTCTTGGTTTTGAAATGCGTAGTGAGCCTGGTGATCTTGAGAGAAATCAGTACAAACTTGGCTTGGCTCCTTAATGCTTTTCCAAACTCACGTCGTCGAGAATGGCTTCCCAGTTGGCAGCATCCACATACCGCACCCTGTCCACCATCGGGCCCGCAGTCGTCGGCTCCGTGATTCCCATCAGGCTGGGGGTTTCCGTCCCGCTGGAAGGCTGTTTGGCGCTGACGCTAGACGCGCTAGATTCCGAGATCGGGTTTCGCGACATCTCGACCTCTCGACTCCGCATTTGGCCCAGCTCCTCGGTCAGACGGTGCAGCTTGGCTTGCAAAGCCGCCATTTCGGCAGACTGCGGTGTCTGATGGCGGAGGGCGGCATGTTCAGAGCTCGCACCAGGCCCTCCTCTGATCAGATATGGCACGATCACGCAGGAGCTCGCAAGGCCCCGCTTCTCGCACTGGTCGCAAGGATCTCCGCGGTTGCACTTGCGCCTGAGAAACACGCGAGGCTGTCAGATGCAGTCCAAGGCTGTTCAGGTTGTCCGTCCATGGGCAAACTCACTTCTTCTCGCGACATATGGTGCAAGAGTACCTGACGCGGCTGCGCTTCTTGGAACCCTCGTAATCGGTCGGGTCAGTGCCCGTCGCCTCGGTAGCCATTGGAGGGTATCCGTAAATTGGATCCTTTCGACATCCGAGCTTGGTGTAGCTGACTCGTTATTCTGTGGCTTACGACTGCGAAAGTGGAATTCGGCATCAAATCTTCCAAAAACCAAACTCGGCTGGGCGTAAGGCGGGAAAAGTCGACTGGTTCATTGACGAAAGTCAATCTTTTGATCAATCACGTTTCCAGGCGATTGCCGCCAACGACGACTCCCCAATGGACATGCACGCTGGGGTCCTGTCATGTTAACGTAAGCAGGCCTGACCATACGGCGTTCGCTATCAGGCTCGATGGAGACGATGCAAAGGCCCAGAAGCAACTAACATTTAATTAGCGACAAATCCATCTGCCATGCATAATGGATACAAACACAAGCCCTGGTCTGTCGACGACTTGCCAAATCATGGCGAAAGAGGCCACAATAGACCTTGGCAAAATTGCCGTTCCATCCTCCAGGTCGCACGCCTAATCAGAGGGTTGCAGCGTTGCTATTCCTCAAATTTTCAAGAAGCAAAAAACGTCGCTAAAGCCACCTTGATAATCTGCAAATGGCAGACAGCAACCTAGGTATTGGACATCATGTCGAGACAAGGTCGTCCTGGCCGATATCGAGTTGATGGACCCAAGTCAAGGTCGCCAGAATATCTGGAGCATGGAGGGGGGCGGATGGTCTTTATATAAAGATGTCCCGGGTGAATTCGATGGCCACACGTCTATTTAAACTGTGTATTCCATTCCCTCGGGACCGGAACATGTCCAGAAGAAGGTGAACCGTCTGACGGCATGCACGTCTGGTGTAACCACGTTGGCGTGTACGCGAGCTTGTTGACTGGTCAAGGGGCGACTTCCGGAGTTAGAAGGCCGGAGTTGTGGTTTCTGGCGCAAGATGATGGCAGATTAAGCCGGTCGGCCAGCTCGACAAGGGTCCTTGGCATGCAAGCGGTGGCATTCTCATGCTGTTGGAGCTAACTTCCAACAACATCAGTCTGTGACCACGCACTGCTAATTGGATGGTTTGGATGGACTGACCCGCCTGTTGGCTGGCTTGTCGAATATGTGAACCTCGATGCTGCAAGGGGGGACACGGATCCTGTGAAACAAATGGAGAAATTTTGCTTGGTTTTGAACCTCGTTGGCGCACTGCATTGCTGTGACCCAATTGATATCTTCGTTCAAGAGCAAGCCGGCACGGTGAGGGCGACTCAACTCGCTGTATGGCGCACGTACCACCCTCGGTGAGGGTGCCTGCCGGCCACCTACCTAGCATTTCAAGCTTTCGTGGCTCTTTCCGCGGGGTAGGCACGGATACCTACGGAATATTATGTATTAGGCAGGAAGATCCGGCTCTACCCCCACTTCCTTGCACAGCGAGGTACCCGCTTCTACGTGGATACCCAGCTTGATTCGTCCAATAAGACGCTGCCACTCAAAATGACGTACAGAGGAAGGAGGCAACCACCAACGCAATCCTCCGCCAAAAGTCACCGTTATCGTCGCATCGCGGGCACACCATTCTCAACTCAAAACCGACGACCGTGACGACTTCCACTTTGACTGCCGGTGTGTCCCAGTTTCTCGAGTACGACGGGCAGCGAAGGCCGTATATCGCACAAATGTCCGATTCACAGCGCTCCGCGTGGTCATCCCGCGCCGACCTTCTCCTACGACCCGTCGAGCGTCCGGTGGGGTACCTGAAGCGCGCCAGTATCGCGGCCTGGTTTCCCATCCGCGGCATCTGGTACTTTTTGCGAAACAAGGAATTCTACCCGCTATTCCTTAGCCGCCTTCTACCACTGTCCATTATATCATTTCTCGTTTACTTTATCCTCTTTACATTTGCCTTCCTCCCACAGTTTGCACTTCTGGCCATCTTCCACGGATGGGGCGCCTGGGTCAATGCGGTGGTTCTTGTGCTCGGAGAGGGTCTCGTGGTGATCCAGGGTCTCTTTGAGGGATTCTTCGTTGACGAGTGTCGAGTAGATGTCTTTGATGTAAGTGGAATCTGTCGTAGTCTTTGATCATTGATGTTTTCTTCGGTTTTATGGTACTAATCGTTTCCTCAAGGCCACCCTGATCAAAGAGTCGCAGACGGAACTCGTGGCCCCCCACAGGATCCTCTTCCCCGATGCCCCCACCGCGGTCAAGATGCTCGGCAAGCCGACGACCCCTGCCGCCTTCACCCCATGGTCTATGATCCAGATCATCGAGCTGATAGTTTTCTTGCCCCTCAACTTTGTCCCGGTCGTTGGCACCCCTGCTTTCATCATCATCACGGGTACGAGACTAGGCAAGCTGGCGCACTACAGATGGTTTCACTTGCGAGGATTGAGCAAGAAGGAAGCCAAGAACGAAATTCGTGCGAGGACGTGGGAATACGTATGGTTTGGCACGGTTGCGATGATTCTGGAGCTGATTCCTGTACTGTCTTTCTTCTTCTTGTTGACTACTTCGGCTGGGGCCGGGCTCTGGGCGGCGCGGATTGAAGATGAGAAGAAGAAGCGAGCTGTGGACGCTCTCATCGGGGAGCCCCTACCGCCCCCGCCCCCCTACGAGGATGATCCGGTTTAGGAACATGGTTAGAAGGATTTTGAGCACCAAATATATTTTGTGATCAGTCGAGCTAGCAAGCAGCCAGGGAAGTGAATACCTTAAATTCACTGATGAAGTCCTCTGATCTATTACCGTTTCGGCATGCCTCCATCACGCCAGACATGGGCACCATCATCACCTCGTACACTCGTTCCTTATGCCTTAGAAAGTATCTTCTTGAGCCCGTTCTACTTCCATTTTGCACCCAACGTACCTTCCCTTGACCCCAGCTTGCCGTGAAATGATGGCGTGATCATCTGCCATACATAAGGTACTTCCCGTCTCGTGGCCTGACGTGGAAGGTGCTCTCTTGCCCAAGTTGCTGTACCGCAGGATACCGCGTTTCGAGGGAAGGTAGGCATCCGAACGGCCTCGTGCTCCTGCCCCCAACCTACCTAAGCTCCTTCTTTTCTCCCTTCTAGAATCTCATGGCAATATTTCATATGGGTGAGCGAGTACGTACTGGATTTCAAGGTACAATGCCTGGATCCCGGGAAGAACATCAGGAAGGAGCCGGCCCAGTGCCTCGGAACATGGACCACTTGAAGGTGCGCATACCAGAGCAACGGTTGGGTCTACGACGACTTTTGCTGGGCTGCATCTCTCCGTATACTATTTGAACATATGATAGGTAGGAGAGCAAGCGGTTGTTTTGAGAGCACGTTTTGATGTTGACCGCATGGGAACCGGGGCCTTCTCAGTGAAGCAAGACAGGTATTACTCCTCGAGATGCTACCGACACCTTCCTTCCTCTGTTGAAAAGTACATCGTACGTTGGGTTGCGTCATCGGCCACAGCTGGTTCCAGGACTTTCAAAGGAGGAAAGAGAGGACTATGACTTCCTTCCCACGACCCAGCTTTACAGAATTTCCTCCCGTTCTTCCCCGTCCTACTTAATCCCCCAAGGACCCCTCCATCTCTGCTCTCTTCTTCCTCTCCTCTTCATCCTCTCTCTCATCTCTTTCGCCCCGTTCCTTTTCCCTCTGCGTTGTCATTGTCTGTCTTGTTCGCGTCGTTCTTTGCGTATTCAATCCGATCAGCGTATCCTACGTATTCTACGTGTTCTTCCTACACCTAGATCCGGCACCTCCAATTGCCCAAGATGCGGGCTTCCCTCTTTGCCATGGCGGCCATGGTGTAAGTTTTCTTTTTCTCTCCATTCTCAGTCGAGTTTGAAGCTGACAATCCATCTCAGTGCTGGCACTTATGCCCAGCCAACCTGTCCGGCGGCGGCGACCACCACGGTCTTCATCACGGTTGACTCCAACAACGACCCTAGTCCCTCGGTCGTCGTCCAGACTGTCACTGCGACCGTTCCGTTCTCTGCCCCTTCCCCTTGGTCTCCTGCCCAGTCTGGTTCTCCTGGTCTTCCGGCCACTCTCACTGTCACCATTGACAGCTACGATCCCCCTCCTGGAGGATCTCAGTTCACCGGCCCCAAGCCTTGGGAGTCTTCCCCTGCTACAGGCGCTCCTGCCACTGTTGTTACTGCCACTGTCTACTCTCCTGGTTCTGGCGACCCCAATGGTGGTTCCCCTGGTTCCCCTGGTTCTCCCGTATCCTCTGGTAACTCCGGCCCTGGTGGTCAAGGAACCGTAACTGTTACGCTTCCTGGCCCTCCTGGCTTTCCTTGGAACCCTTCTCAGTCTGCTACCACCGACTGCCCGTTTGCCACTGGTGACCCCAATGGCTCGGGCGGCAACACTGCGGGTGTCACTGTGATCACCACGACGCTGTACAGGACAGACGCCAATCCAGGTCAAGCTACACCTGCCGTCGACTCTGTTGTTGCAACCTTTACAGTCACATTCCCACAGCCTGCCGCAACTGGGTCTGTTCCTGGCTCTGCTGCAACCGACGGTGCTGTCGATCCTGCGTCTGGCGAGCTGTTCACTTACACCCTTACTGCACCGGCTGCCACTGGGCCTGCCGTCACCAACGCTCCTTCTGGCCCCGACAACGGCAATGGGGGATCTGTCACAGACTTCACTACCACCCTCTACCGGACTCGTCCTGACTCTGGTCAAGGAACGCCTGTCGTCGACACCCTTGTCACCTGCTTCACTGTCACTTTCCCTTCTGCAACCGGCACTGGACCAGTCACTGGAGTCCCTGCAGCATCAACTCCCGCTCCTGGAAGCCCTGGCAGCGGCGGCTCTGTTGGCACCACGACTCGCTACATTCCCACCATGGTTCCTGGTCCAGATGGTTCCTTGAGCTACTCCATCCAAACTATTGTGTCGACTTACACAATTCCCACTCCCGGCTCTCCCTCAACAGGAGGCTCAGGTGTCACAACTGTCTATGTTCCTGCCAGCCCTGCTGGCGCCACCACCGTGGTCGTCCCTGCCAATCCCGCGGGCGGTTCAGCCGGAGGGCCCTCAACTGTTGTCACCACGACTCTGTACGCTTCTCAACCAACCATTGGCAATGGAAACCAACCTACTGATCCTTCGGACCCGGGCAACATTGTCGTGTTCACCTTGACAGTTCCTCAGTCTCCTGCCGGGGGTGCCTCAACTTACACCACGATCCTTCCAAGCATCCCGGGAGATGATGGTTCTGCTGGCCCAAGCTCTGTCTCAGTTTCCACTGCTACGATTGTCCTGACGTTGCCAACGCCTCCTACAAACCCCGGAGATACCACCCCTCCCACAATCCCCGGCGGCTACGGTGACCCTGTACTCCCTGGTGCATCTGGAAATCCTTCGACTGGTGTTCCCGGCTCAGGCACTCCTGGCTCTGGCGCCCCTGGTTCTGGCACTCCTGGATCTGGCACTCCTGGTTCTGGCACTCCAGGCTCTGGTGCTCCAGGCTCTGGCACTCCTGGCTCTGGTGCTCCTGGCTCTGGTGCTCCTGGCTCTGGTGCTCCAGGCTCTGGCACTCCTAGATCTAGCACTCCTGGCTCAGGTGCTCCTGGCTCAGGTGCTTCTGGCTCTGGCGCTCCTGGCATTCCAGTCACAATCACAGTTCCCGCAGGTGGTGTCAGCCCTACGGACCCCAACGGTCTTCCTGGTGGTGGAGTTCCCATTACGCTCACCATCCCGGCAGGCGGCGCCTCCCCTACGGATACAAATGGCCTCCCCGGTGGTGGGATCCCCATTACACTCACGGTCCCCGCAGGCGGTGTTTACCCGACAGATACAAATGGCCTTCCCGGCGGCTACACTGATCCGGCTCAGACTGGCGTCCCCCCCTTTGGTGGTCTGCCTGGACCACAGATCACTGTCACTGTTGCTCAAGTAGCCCCCGATGGAGGCGTCTCAACCACTGTTGCTGGCGTGCCAACTTCAGTCATTGGTAGCTACTCTGTCCCTGTCGACCCTGCAACTGCTCCTGTCGGTTCTCAGAACTCGCCTACTGTCATCACTCTCTGGCCCGCACCATCGACGGTTGACAATGCTCTTCCTGGCGCCGCAACCTCGACTTCATGCACCAGCTCCGAGTCTACCACATCCACGACTGTGCTAACCACCAGTTTCATCAACGTCGTCGCCGATGAGACCACCACGTACACGTTCCCTTACGAGTCTCTCGTCACAAAGGTCGATACGATTGTCGCATCTGCCTCGGACGTAGCTGTCACTGGCGGCGCTGTCACTGGTGGCGTTGTCACTAGCGGTGCTGCTGGCTCTGCCGTTGTCTCTACCATCATTGGCGTTTCCACCATTCTCGGAGTCTCTACCATTGCTGGTGTCTCCACGGTCGGTGGCCCCGCCGTAACCGCGTCCACGGCCGAAGCTCCTGCTGTCACCGTCTCTCCTGCCGTCACTCCCGCTGTCTCTACTTGGCAGAGTGTCGTCGTTCAGAGCTCTGTTGTCCAGATTTTCACCACCGGAGTCTTCACCTCTCTTGTTCAGCCTGGCGGGGTTCAGAGACGTTACGTCAACACAACTGCAACATTCAGCACACCCACACTTACGCCTGTTGCGACACCCATCTGCACCGGCACCACAGAGGTTGGCAACCAGGTCCTCGATGTAAGTTGATCTGTTACTACTATCTCATCTTTCCATTCATTTGCTGATTGCTTTCCACGCAGTTTGATGATGTCTCGTCTGGCCCGCTTTTCAACCCTTACCACCGGTTCTGGTTCTCCAAGGGCTTCCTTGTTGGTCCTCCTCCGCTGATGCCCTTCCTGCCCTCCTCTGGCGGTCGTCTTGTGGAGTTTGTGCCCCCCATTCTTTCAAACACCTCTTCAGATGACGTCTCCGGCGACACTGCGCAGATCGGCATGGGAAAGCTGGCGTCTTCTCCTTGCTTCCAATTTGACTTCTTCGGCATGAACCTGGGTTGCCACTCCGACTCTGCGGTTCCCAGCCAGCTTTGTGTCTTTACTTTCACTGGATACAGATGGGATGCGACCAACGCCACCGAGACAGAAGCTGTCAGCCAGAAGGCTTGGGTCAACGCTTGCAACCAGTCTTCGGGCTGCCCACTTACGCCTTTCTCAGCTGTCGACTTCTCCGATCTCAGCTCCATCCTGATCACTCTGCAGGTCGATGGCAAGCCTCAGGTTTGGTGGTCTGATGACATCCGCGTCGGCTGGAGCAACAATGATTGCGCGACCGCCAATTGCCGACAGCAGTTCCAGCCCGAGAATATCCAGCTCCACGCAGGTCCTTTCTTCTACTGGACCAGTTCCGGGCTGAGAGTTTTGTCTTCGTCTAGAATCAACCGGGGTTGAGTGTACAGGAACACATGATGATTACAGGAATGATTGCAATGATGGTGGATTGAGAACTGTTGTGTTGCTACACGATTTGATCCGAATTTCTTGGGCGGCTCATTGCGAGCCGGGATGTGTGCTGAAATGACCATGGGAGAAAGGACCACCTACACCTATGTATGCTATTGCTAGTATTCTACATGAATGGTTTTTGGAGGTCCTATAATATTGTTCCAGTTTTATCTCGCTTCCTTGTGTTGATTGATATGCAGTGGAGTGAGTCTGTCAGCGTGCTACAACGTGTGAACTTGGAGTAGTGACGTGCAACATGAAGGAGCACTTGCAACGCCATTACTGTAATTTACAGGGCGACGTCACTACAGGTTCTCAAACACGACAAAGTCTAAGAATTTCTTGAGGCTGTACTGACAGGCAAGTAGGGTAGGGTATCGATTGAACATGTACCAAGGAAGCGGAGGGCTGGGAATGCACGTCCGGTCTGGAAGGCTGAAGCATGGGCTGACGGACAACCCGGCGAGATCACCAGTATGTCGGTCTTCAGTGCAGTATACCGCCATCGCGGATGAGACGAACATCAACTGAAAGCTTTCGAAGATTTAATATTTCTTCAATCTATTTCAATCTACTCTACTTCAAAATCCCATTCTTCCGATACCGCGCGCAAGTGCATCAATCTCTGCCGCATATCTCACGCCTTCGGCCGAAGAGTGATTCCGGCCGCCGACCGGAGCGTTGCATTCTGGGCACACCGTCTGCTGCATCGCCATGCCACATTCGCCAATGGTGAAGGGATGCCCGTTGCGGCATGTGTACCAGTGTCCTGTTCCCGAGAACTCCTTGCTCATGGCCGCGTAGACGGCTCGCATCTCGTCGGTGGAGACTTCGCTGTAGAAGACTTCGTCGTGGAGCATGCGCCTCGCGGTTTCGATTTCGGAGGCCAGCGTCGCTGCGGATGGATTTGCTTTGATGATCTTCTCAGCTTCTAAAAGGTGGTCCTCGCCGAGCTTGATCATACTTTCTTTCGTGGATGAGCTTTCTACATGCGATGCCTCTGTTGCGTCAGTCGTCGGCTTAGCATCGTCAGGTGGTGCAAAGTAACAGAACATGGCGAGGCAGATATGGCCTTCGACTTCCAGCCGGGAATAATTTCTCGTTCGCGCATTCTCAATCAGTTTCTTGCAGTCCGTAATGTACGGCATGGGCTCAATGCTGGCGGATTTAGCACCATTATTGTCGTTGTCGGTCGCGTTGCGGCACAGACTAATATAATCAGAGACCAGAAGGAGATCACACCGTAGCGAGAGCTTCATGGCGTCCAGCATTCCACCCATTTGAATTGCCGACTCGTCGAATGAGTACTCGCTGGTTTGCCGCCGCTTGTTGACGTGCCAGACCAGGTGTGCCACGCGCTGATATGGGTGCTCCTCTTTTCTCACTGACCCGAAGAAATCGGTGATTTGATATCGTAGCGTCTTGAGTACCGCGTGCCTGGTGTTTCCCGTGAGCTTGAAGAGTTGGGTCATTTGTTCCTGCCGAGATCCTCTGAGAGAAAATGCCGATTGAGCCGTCGGAAACCCCAATTGTGCTGTAGGAAAGCTGAATTTGCTCTTTTCCATCTTCTGCAAGTTGTCTTGCGCAGCGAAGAACGCCTCTGTCAACTTTCGTTTGACGTTGTGGGCCCAGCTGATGAGCTTCCTCGTTGGCTCATCAAGAAGACCACGTCGAACGATTCTCCCATATCTGGAGATGTTTCTCAAAGGCCCTCGGCAGTCGGGGCACACCTTGATATCAGTCACCGAAAATGGGTGAGACCCCGATTTGACGGCCGTCGGCACTCCTTCAGGCGAGACATCGTAAAGATCCCGGAGCCCCATCTGTCCGTCCATCGTCGTGTAAGTGTAAAAGTGGCCACAGTCCGGGAAGATGCAGGGATCCTCGTCCAGGTCCACTGAACCGTAATCATCCATGAGAATGAGATCGACCACCCTGTTCTTGATGACATCCGCGGCGCATGTCTGGCAATACTTCTCGGCTGGACAACGTTCACCGCAGACAGAGGGGCCTTGGCACTGTCAATACGTTCTCACAAGCTTGGCCAGAAGGAAAATGACTTACATTGACGTCCGCACTTAAGGACCTCGGCACACCGCTTGGCGCAGGGAATCCAATCACAAGGAGGGCAAACCTCATCTCCATGGCAAGCTGCTCGACAAGAGTGGCTACAGGATGTGTAGGATCTGCCACAGGTCTGTCGACAAGCTCTGCGATCCTCCTCGACAACCTTACCATCTTTTCTAATGCGACATACCGAGCATAGCGACTTACATGCGTGGCCGCAAGGCCGTTGAAAGCCACACTCGGTCCTGCAAAGAAAGCTGTCTCTGGTAACGTCTACATGGTAGGACACCTTGACAGGGTGAGCGCATCCCAGCACCACTTTGTCGACTTGCGCGACACACTTGACCACAGATGGGTCTTGAGCTTTCCAACAAGCCACCGTGTCAAGAGTGCGACCGCAGGGAAGCTTCAGGCCAACGCCTCGCAGCACCTCTGTGCAAAGCTTAGACCAAAGCTCCCCACAGCATCGGTGGCATGGGCGGTCACAGTTTCATTCCGGCCTAGCACAGTTCTCGAGACAATTGATGGCGTTATGGAGATGATCGGAGTGGCAAGGGCCAGTACAGGCGTGACCGCATGCCAGCCGACGGTCACACCGGGGTTTGTATCCACCGTCCAGACAGAATCGAAGGGGATCCTCCGGCTGTGGAACATCCTCTAAATCTTAGCTCATTACTCAGCCTATTCAGTTTACTTGTTCTGCATCCTAGTAATTCCTCAACCTAGTGCTGTTTGCAAGTTTGGTGATATGTGTGAACAGTTTGGACGGCGCTTCTATTCATCTCAGAGCTCTCATAATCTAACCTTTTACCGCAAGTCCGCCCATCTTCAACATCATGAGATCCATCCCAAGCATCAGCCCATAATCGTACGGCGTTTTCTTATGGATGTCCTTTACATTCATATCCGCACCATAGCGCAGGAGGATCTCAGTTGCTTCTATGTTGCCTTGCTGTGCAGCAAGGTGTAGCGGCGTCCAACCTGACTGCTGAAGTGTCGAATCGGGTTCCTCACAGACTTCCAGCGCTTTCTCTAGGTATTCACTGCTAACCCTGCCGTTGTTCGGTTTGCCACTGCTAGGTTGGTGTAAGACAGCGAGGACATGAATCGAATACTGGCATCTGTAGGACTTGAAAGACTTTTTTGCGCCGTCAGCGAAAATGGCCTCAAGCTGTTGTACGGTGAGATGCCGGTGCTGTTTGAACAGCGGATCGTCGATCGCTATCTTGGCATCTAAATGCCCAGCAACGCATGCAACCGCACCGAGCAAGTAGTCGTCACCATGGCAAGTCAAAAGGTCATGGACTGACTCGATTTCCTCAACAACTACTGGCGGTAGCTCTCCGATCCGTTTGCTGGCGACTAGTTCTTTGTGTGCGAGTTCCATGATGCTGAGGCTGGTCAATCTCTTGCTTGGGATTGAATTACCGCATTTTGACATGAAACTATCAAAGGATTTGTTGCTGGGGTTCACCAAGTCGTCTTTAGCCTTATGAATGTGTCGGATAGTCGCTTTCCTCTTCAATCAGCCAGTGACCTCGCATTTGAGTGATCGCCGCTGTTCTCACCTTGAAGACTGTACATATCCCCCTTTCTAGACCAAGCATTTCCTTGGATAACTTCCTGTCTCACGCATTAGCGTCGAATACAGTAGCTTTCAGTGCAAACTACGGATTCCGAGGCCAAACCCAAATTTGTGTAGTTCTTTAAATCTTGTAGCATCTACACTCACCTCAGGTCTGAAAGCACTGGTCCCAATGTATCGCGTTTGGTTTTGTATAGAGTCATACCGCCCAGCTGGCGTAGCTATGCCGAGATCGCACAGCTTGAACACGTACTTCCCATCTGGGGTTTTTTTTCTTACAACTAGCTAGTGTCAGCTTTTTGAGCCAGCGCAGTGGTTATGCTGGTGACTTGCCATTTTCCGGTTTGACGTCTCGGTGTATGACGTACTCCCAGTCACACTCAAACACAGCCTTAAGCTGTCCCGACTCGTGTTGCATTGATAACCCATAGTGAAGATAGGCAAGAGCTGAACTCAGCTGCCAGATCAAACCCCAAAGCTGAACTCCGTTCAATGGCGGGGCCATGAGTTGGGGAGTTTCTGATGAGTCCAGAAAGCCGTATGTTCTGTCAGTTTCGTCTTTGGCGTCGTCTGGTTTGAGAGGCAGTCCATATATACTCCGGAGATCACCGGAGTCGCAATACTCCAGATATAAGTTAAACGTGTTGCGTTCCGGATCGATATCGGAGTCTAAATATAGGACTATGTGTGGGTGCCAAAGGGTATACAAGATTTGCCCCTCCGATAATGAATACTTCTGTATCGTTTTGCTATGTTCAGTCTCAGAGCCTCTCATGATCAAATCGGTAGTTGATTTGAAAGCTTTCCGGAATACCATCTGGAGCAAAGATAGTTCAGCCTCAGATAACCGTGATTAAAACTTGAGCCATGAATGGTGAAATAGAATCATCATCAAGACTTCACTCAATACCATTCTATCAGAATGTAGCAAGAAAACTAGGTAAACTCACCATTTTTCGATCCTTGGAGTTTCTGAGCACCTCGCAAGTTGCTTGTGCACCCTTCCTTGTACTGCGAGTTATCTCGGGGTCAAGTTCGTAGCATGACCAGTCCGTGTCTCGAGGGATATCTTTCCAGATAGAGAACTCCGCCAAGTTCACTGTCAAAGGTCTCGAGGCGTTTTTAGAACTACTGGTTGCCCCCAGATTTTCAAGGAGCTGGGCTATGGCGTCATGGCCCTTTCGCTTTGCCTCGTCTAACGAAGTATGTCCTAATAGATCGGCGATGTTGAGATTGAGTCGATTGTGGCCGAGGCTCAGTATTTCCTTGACTAGCTGAAGGTCTCCCCCCTTAGCTGCACAATGAAGAGCTGTCATGCCAAAAGCATCTTGCAAGTTTGGATCTGCTCCATTCAGCATCAGGAAGCGCACAACAGGAGTATGTTTTCCCCAACAAGCCAAATACAATGCTGTTCTTCGCTGTAGATCAGCGACGTCAATGTTGATGCCACCATATTCGTGCAGAATCTTGACAACTGACAAATGTCCTTCTTTTGCCGCAAGATGGAGTGCCGTCCAGCATCGGAGACTGGTAGTCCATCTAAGTGCCGTTAAAGAATCCTCGCTCCTTTTGAGTTTCGATAAAATGGTCGTAATCACCCTATCGTAGCCTTTCCAGGATGCCCAGTGAATTGCTGTCCAGTGGCCATCTGTTTTCGAGCATATGTCAGAGAGATCGGTATCCAGTAACTCTTCTACAACTTGGTGGAGTCCGAAAGCAGAAGCCAGATGTATGCCAGTCATTCGTTGGTATGCCTCATCGTAATGCTCCATGTTGTTTTCGCATGACCCCAAGATGAGACAAGCTGCTTCCATCGGAAACCCTGCTTCGAGGAAAGCCATGATCTCGTCTTTGAGAGTCTTATCGCAGCACTTTCGCGCATGATGACCCCAATTAACAGCGGCATATCTTAGAAAAGGGTACTCCGCCAATCTCTCTTGGATTTCATCTACTTCTCTCAATGATTTCTTTGCGAATGGTTTCTGTCGGAGGTAGTTGAGACATCTTCGTGCAATCAATAAGTCTGGCGTTGTAGCCAGGGAAGGTATTTCCAGTTGTGTAGGTAACCATTTATGCAGGTAGTCTTTCAACGAGTTGTGAATCAAGACGACAGAACCATCGTACTCCTCCTCCACTAGAGGGCGGGCAACGTCCACAAATTGCTTCAAACTGAGTCCGCCGTTCGTGTTTTCGCGGGCACGAGCTGTATTGATTCCCAAGGCTGCCTCTAACTCGTCGCGTTTGAGTCTCGTGTTGGAATAAGTTAACCATGTCAGGATTTGCAGCATCATCTCATAGCTATCTCCAACCTTGTGGGTGATGCGGTCAAGAATTGTAGTGTAAAACTCCCCCAGTTGCAATTGGGCGATTGATATCACTTTCTTCCATTCGCTGTGTATGCTTTGGGGATCCAACACTCCCAATGCGAGCTGAGCCCATAGAAAGCTTTACTCTGTCAGTTGGATGAAGTTTCGAATGCAGGTTGTAAGAAATACCGTACCTCCCGGATGCCCTCGAGACGATGTTGCTAACCAGTTTGTTCTCTTGTTCAGTAGTGAGCAATAAGGACAAGTTCATCTTCGAGAGCTCTCTAGACACGAAAGTCGAAATTTCATCGAGTCTTGGCCTTATCTCCAGTTTGAAAGCGTCTTCGAACAATGGCTCTGACACCAGCTGCTCTCTTGATGTTAGAAGAACATTTGGTGGGTTTCTGCGCATCCTGCCCATCCTCATCTGGAGATCGTGGACCAACTCCTTTGTGTGGCCTGGGAATTCGTCGATAGCGTCGAAGAGTAGGAATGCCCTAGGTGCTTGCTGCATGAGATGTCCCAATATTGCGGTGGCATCTGCATAGTCAGAGCGGTTACCCTTCCCACGAGAATACCACTCCTTGAGCTTGTTATCTATCGTTGGTTTGTGCAAGGCAACAATGAATTGCTTGATCAAAGAGCAAACAATGTCGACAGGCTCAAGGTCTTGTACTCCAAAATAGATGTAGCCGACGAAATTAGGTGCGCGGAATTTATCGCCCAGAAAGTTAACAGTGACGGAACTAAACAGAAAGGAAAGGAAATCAGCCACATTTCAAGTCCTTCCCTCTGGTTGGCAACGTACAACTGCAGAGTTTTTCCCGAGCCAGCTGACATCTGTTAGTTAGGAGGAAACTCGAAGTCTGGCTGGTTGCAGTCTATCAGCTAAGGAAGATTTACCTGGCCCAGTGTACCATAATGCCTTCCCTGGAGTTCGCACCCAAGACTTGAATCTCACGTCGTCCACAACATCGTGACCAATATTTCCGACCACGTGATTCTCGTACAGTCTTTTGTGTACGCCAGAGAATTCGGGTGCCGCGAGCCACTGGAGAAAGTCATGCGTGGAGATTGCCTGTAGTTCCAATATTGCCGGCGACTGAGCCAATCGTTGAAGTTCATGGCGATTGTTGAGTAATGCATCAGCTGCCCTGGTCAATTTTTCTTTCTCGAGTCTTAAAACGCGCAACTTCGTACGCCTCGCCAGCCGTGTTTGTAGGTCTGGTGCAGGTAATGCCTCCAGCAAGCGGGTTGTTGTGGCTCCTAGCTTGCTCAGGAAGAGACTGAATTCCGTCGAACGGCTGAGATTCGGCACTGATTCTCCTACCTGGGCCAGGAGGTCTCTTGTTTGTTGGACGTCCCGTCTCAAGTCCTGCAAAGTGTCAGGAGCATTGCTGATAGACTTTAGCAGCTCGTCGATTCTGGAATATGCCGTATTGGCAGCACTCAAAACAGATAGGGCGCCCGCAACGACGCCGATGGCCTCTGCCATGATGGGCTTAGGCCGCAGAATTCACCAACACTCTGGGGTTTTGGCCACAGAGGCAACCACATCTGACTGGGAATTATAAAGCAAAATGGGGATCGAAGGGGACTTTTCAAGCAGAGAACAATATTCGAGCCTACTGTCTCCAGTGCAATACCGAGGAAGAACCGTCTCGGTTACGGACGCCTTTCATCGACCCCGCATTAAATGATTACCAACTAGATAAGCAAGAAGAGTTGGCGGCCACATACTTTGCGTGTGTCGTTCACTGACGAATGACTTACAATGTGCAAGGATGTGAGTAAGATGTAGCTGCATGCTATGGTACACTTCCACCAATGGCCGCAGAGTGCGCGTCTCTCAGATGACCGACAGTCTCGAGCTCGTTCATATGCAGGTAAGAATGGCCTGATGAGACGCCAAACCTATCATAATTTGCCAATGCCATTTAACGCCGAGAAGAACCTCCTTCTGCACATTATGTCAACACAAACGTAGCTTCACGGTGTGGTGAGGCGCATGCCCAGCCATCACTCAGCCAGTAGTGTTTAGACACATTTCTATTGTCTGTCCTGTAGTCCCGGTGCGCCCGTGGGCGTTCATCTTCATGCACCATGTTGGGACCGGTATCACTTCCTTTGGGAGCTTAATATGTCTGGGCGCATGATGTGTCGGGGTCCCATTGCCCAGGCTTGCCAGAGACCCGTGTGATTTTTCAGCTCGGCTGCTTGAGTTGCAATACAAATACCGTGTACCAACGTTAATGTTAATGATACGCAGAAACATTGCCCGCGTAGCTAAGATTCTCTCAAAATGGCAACTGGCATCGAAATTGCTGGTATTCTACTTGCTTCAGCAGGAGCAGCACATCAACTTTTCGACTGCGGCCGAAAGATTTACCGACGCATCAAAGATGAGAAGAAACTCAACCGACTCCTGTCCGAGCTAAAGATGTTCGAAGTCGACGACCAGCGCCAGATGCTGAACAACTACGTCGAATCAGTGCAACCTGTGCTCCGCACCCAACTGATCAAGAAAGAGGACAAAGATAGGCTCCTACGAAGGTGGGAGCGGATCAAGCAGCATTTGATTCGCATAGATGAACTCATCGACATCATGATCATGAACTCGTCACTTTTAGACACCATCACTAGGCGCCAGGCCAAAAATGAGCTGCGAGAATTGGGAAACACAGGGGTCTTAACAGTGCTTCTCGCACAATTCCGAGATGATGCGTCACTTCTTGAAAAACTGGCTTCCAAAGACCAATCGACATTCCTGTCAGGTAGGGACTTCATCTATATCGATGACACTCCCAAAAAGGCGCTGGGGAAAGATACGATGTTGCGGAAAGGGAGATGGGTAGCGGCCGGCAGCAACAACTCCAATCGAACAGGGTGGTTCCTGGTAGAGTCAAAGCTACTCAAGAGCGATTACGAGAAGCAAATTGTGAAAGAGGATGTGGCGACGCTCGCAAATCGTCTCGAGAGGGCACAGAAGAATCGTGGAATTTTCAAGCTCGTCGGATTCCGCGAGGAAAAGAATCCTCAAATGGCGGGGTTTGAGTTGATCTTTGACGGCGAATTTGACGGCAAGGTGCCTGTTAGCCTTTCTGCTTACATGCAGACTCATTCCACGAAGCCAAGTCTCAACTTCCGCATCGATCTGTGCTGTCAACTTGCCACTGCTGTTCTCGAAACGCAATCTCTCCGTCTTGTTCACAAGAATATTCGTCCAGACAACATCCTGGTCATGGAAAACATCTCTTCCCCGCTTGCCAAACTGGAGGAGTCGATCCCAATGATCAATCTTTCTGGTTGGCAATATGCTCGTCACGTCGACGAGGGCTACATTACCACATTGGGGAACGCAATGGATTTGGAACGGAAGATTTATCAACATCCGGAGCGCCAGATCCGCACTTCCGAGCGTGACTACTCCATGGCTCATGACATTTACAGCCTAGGTGTTTGCATGATCGAGATACTGTGCTGGAAGAGTCTGCTTCAAACAAGAGAAGACGATGCGAAGACAGTTGCAGTCTCAGATGACTTTGTGAATGCATTCAAGGCCTTAGGATTTTCGCCTCATGCGAATGATGTTCAGGACGACTGGACCAAGTTTCCGAGACAGAACAAGGCAGTCTTGCAGGAGTTGAACGCAACTTGCGTCCCAGTTGAGTCGGGAACGAAAATGGCACAGATCATACATGGGTTTCTGACTTCTTTGGATCGAAAAGTTCAAGAGGATGAGGAAAATGATAGTGAAGAAGAAGAACAAGAAGAAGAAGACAGCATAGGTGTGTATGCTCTGAACGGAGAGGAAGAGCGGAGGACGCAGGCCATAGAGTTCATGGATACGAGCTTGAAGGACTTGCAAAGCTTTCTTCAAGTCGTCTGATGTGCGAGCAGACCAATATCTAAAGTGTGCTAAGGTTCACGCACAGTGCTTGTCTCTGTGGCACTCGCGCTCATGTGTCTTGATTTCCCGCAGGGTGGGTATCGGCTGGTTTTGTGTTCTTTCCCCAGCTTAGTTGAACAGTCGAATCGCAATAGCCAAATGCTGTTCAACAATTCTTTCGTGGCCAATATTTTATAGCGAAACAAATCTAAGAATCGTCGACACACCGTCTCTTTTCGTCATGTTTGAACCCACAGAGTCTTCCAGTCGCATCTGCTTTCCACACATCGTTTCCCACACATAAGGTAAGGGACAGTGAAATACCGACTCAAGATCACACATAATCTTGATTCTCCGGAGCTTATTGTGGTTCGCCCGTAAAAGCTCGTTTTCCAGTCCATATCAAGCGCGTCGCCCTTAACCATATACGAATTCATACCAGACCCTAACGCCTTCATGGCCCCGACCTTAGTCTATTATCATATCGACATAGACCGCGTGCCACGTCTCTGCAGTCAGGTCGTTTTCTAAGGATACGCGCGACGAACTAGTATAGAACTGCTATCTCTGGACTGGGAGCACAATTAACATTTTATCGCTACCGTTTTTCCACACTTGGAGCCGCCGCCGCTGCCGCCTCCCGCACTCTACTCAATAAATTAGTAGGCGCGCGGGGTCAGTCCGTACCTGATGTGATCACTCATGTCTGTAGCATCAAGGAGCCGCGAGCTGAAGGCGGCTAACAGGCCGAAAGGGTCCCTGTCTACGCTTATGTTGCCGAAGAAGGCCTAGCAGTCTAGGTCAGTAGCTGACGGAGCTTGACTTGACGGAAAGCACGTTGCTGAAGAGGCTGGTGCAGTTGAGCAGGAATACGCCGGCTGCCTCGCTCTTGTCGAGGGGTTTGTTGAAGGCAGAGATGGCGTGTGAGTTGGCTATGATGTAGTTATTGAATGAGGGTGCTGGGCCGTCAACTTGCCGGTTGAATACTGTAAGGCGCTGAGCCCCTCACAAGGGATGTTTTCAACTATGCTCGGCGCAAGACTCGGAACAGGGGCGAAATTCGCGATTCTCAGAGAAGAGCTTTGGCCTCGGGCGTTCTAGCTGAAGTGGCTCCCTCAATGACATCTCTGACCAGCGGCAGCCGACCGTCAGAGGCCATCTCCTTGACGACCTCTTGCGCCAGGCTCACATCTTGCTCCACCAGACTGATAGCAGTGCGGAAGAAGTTGGACGTAGTATCGTCCCAGAGAAGCGACACCTGTCTCGGCTGAGGTCTAAGTCGTTTCCACTGGAACAGCCGCTCACGCTCTGGGTTACGCGCTCGGCTCGAGGCAGTGGCGGTTCGGCCATCGATTCGCCCTGCATTTGCTGGTGGGTTGTCGGTAGATCTGTTGCTAGTTCGCCACTGGCCTTGTTCTTCACAATCGGGTTTGCTGCCTGGATCGTGAGAGAATTTGCACCTTGAGCCAAAGCCACAGGTTCCAGTCCTCAGGTAATAGGAGCATGGACCATTTGTAGACGAAGTCGCTCCCGGGCGTTTTCTAGCGCACGATAGACGTCAGCTTCGAGATGACGACTTATAGATCGAGGCGGTTGTCATGACTTACCTGCCATTTTTCCACATCTTTAGGCGCTTGGTAGAGAGATTACTGTCGAGATATTTGGCTATGATTGGTATCAAGCATTCGCTCCAGAGTATCCAAGGGCTGAAGTGATCCGGAAAGACAGGTCGGCAGAGGGGGCATAATCGGGTGCGAGAGAAGCCTCGTCCCTATGAGGGACCGACTCTAGACATGGTTCAGCCAGCTTCTGCGTGGCCTCATTCATCAATTTGAGAAAGCCGTGGATGGCATTTCCAGCAGAAGGAAGGGCCATGCAGCAGTTTCAAGAAGGCTCTCTGCGTAAGGGCCTAGGCACCAACCGAACAGAGGCTAGAAAATTGATTGGTCATGTCGGACGTATGATGCTGGGGCTCTCGTGGTTCTTGTCCGTCGCAGGGCTTACGGGTCGTCGTTGGACGAGCTTTGCATCGCGTGTTGATAGGAGAGTGGTAATGGTGTTGTGGGCACCCTGCAGCGAAGATGCGGGAGGCCGTCAACGCCAAAGTATGCGGCTGCTCCCGCGACGAATAGGAGAGCGATGCGGGACGGGGTCTAAGACAACCGTCAAAGGTAAACGACATGCCAGGGAGAAGTCAGCCCAACGGCCTCTTGATTGGCCTCGGGTGCCGTCATGTCGCGGACCAACGTTGTGCTGCAGCCGTCTCTGGCTGCCTGGCAGATTTTGGGGCTGAGAGGGTCGGAGAATTGGCCGCCAGGTGACTGAGGTGCTGGGATGTTGAATGAAAAAGTTGAAAAACGCCGCGATGGAACTTGTCTGGATGATTGAGAGAAAGCGTCGCAATACAAGCTGGGTTTGTAGTCGTCAAAGGTAAGGTGAAGTGAGGTGGGTGAGGTGAGGTTCGAGTCGCAGGGACGTGCCGTGCGGGGCCCGACAAGGAACACCTGCATTGTTCTATAGTGCTTTCCAAATTCGACGACAGCTAGGTACCCTAGAAGACCACCTGCCGTGTTTCGTTCGACCTTGACCACGATTATGTCAACAGAGTCCTCAGTGCAACATCCAAATCAGACAAGCTTAAACACGCACCAGACACCACAATTGTCTTTCGTTATCCCTCAGGCCGAGTGCAGGGCTCGGGGCACAAAGTGGCAGGATGTCCCTCGTCAGCCCAATGCTGGAGGTTCTTGCATGTGCAAACAACGTACGTCCACTTGGGATTGCGACCTTTGTCCAGGATCGGAACCTCAAACTCAAACACGTCCCCGTCCTTCGCCCTCGCCTTACCGCCTTTCGCATCGCCATTTCTGCCTGGGATTCTTTCTACGGGGCATTTCTTGCCAGGGCTCATCCTTTCGAGGTGGCCAGTGACGCGGAGCACGCTCGGAATGATCAGCACGCTGCACCGCCAACGCTTCGGCCCCGGCGGTGCTCCCGGCTCGCCACAGTTGCCGCTGACACCTTGCGCAAACGAGTACGTGACGGTCTCTGACACGGTCCAGGTTCCGCCCATGGTGATTAAATCAGTGACCTTGATACCAAAGGTCGAGCCTTTGGTCCATGAGGTACCGATCGAATATGTTTGACTGACGCTGATTGCTGTAGCCATGTTAGCCCCCGTAGACCTGGCTGGAGTGAGGCCGGCGCGCTTACTGACACCGCCTCCTACCGAAAGGCCAATCTGCCAACGTTTTCCTGAGACTTCTGTCATGTTATCGACTATTGGACAAAAGACATTGTAGACAATCCCCGGATAAGGGATGATGATCTGGGGGGCTGCCAGGCCTGTGGATGAGAGGAGGGCAGAGGCGATGAAAAACCACATAAGACTTGTCATGATGGTACGATGAGCACGGAAAGGACGATGAGCAATGGATAGATACTTGACAGCTGCCTAGAGTATTTAGGGTTACTTATGTATAAGCTCCAAGAGTCCGCTGCCAAGTGCCAATCAACAATTCAGTACGAAGAAACACCTGGTCACAGTGATCAGTCTTGAGCTTCACAATGTGGTGCTTCTTGTGTGTTCAGGTCGCATTTCGTAAAGTTAATGGTACCGAGCAAGCTTTGCACCTTACAGAAAACCCTCGTCACTGGGGACACTTCTTCAGCTGAATTTGACAATATATTGTCCCATAACTCACAGCGTCTGCGGTCAAGGAAGCCCACTTTCGGCTTTGATAGTCGACCTCTACGGTCGCCCTTTTCGGCCGGCGCCACCATACAACCTGCCTACAATTCTGATATTGCATCGACCTTCTTGATCAAAATTTATACACTCATTTGAGTGTCACATTCTCGTGCGAAATACCCCCGTCAGAAGGGCTCTATAACACCAGCGTAAAGTTTTGCTTGCACCATCTTCAAAATCACGGATAAATCGTGTAAGGCTCAGAGGCATGCCATAAGACAGATGTATTTACTCCGGAAAGGAGCAGCTAAAGAAGCAGGAGCGGCAAAAGCGAGAACTGAGAACACATCTATATCAAGCTCTGAGGATTCAAGTCAGTACGAAGTCATCCATTGAAAAAAGCCTTGAAGACGCCGACTTACACACTTGTATGCTACCCACAACAGGGCCCTGCTGCTGGTACGCCAAGAAAGCCACCTGTATCCCCTTCCAGCCATCGAGGCAGAGCCAGATGTACGTGAGCTCGGAGCCGTTAGCGGACTCGTGGTCCATCTCGTTTCGCTGCTGACCCGGGAGTCGAAGCAAGTCGGCAGCTTCAGTGGCCACTGCAGCCTCAGCAGCGAGGGAGGACAGTAACGCCTTGAGAGTCCAGTATACCACGAGATCCGCGTTCGCGCGTCCGACACGTCGGAGCTCGGCGATATCCCACTGGCTGGTAACTTCCTGCTTGGCGTGGACGAGTTCGCGGTCGGGAAGCCAGTCGAACTTGATTTGGTAGTTTCCCGGGAAGTCGGATCCCTTGGCATCACAGAATTTGAAGGAGATATCTGGCCAAGTCGCTAAACTCTTCACCTCAAGCTTGACCTTCAAGAAGACGGGCTGTCCGGCGCGGCGCTGCTTGGGCACGACATCGGGACGTTTTGGATTACGCTTGTGCGCGAGCGGTGCATCCTGGGTCAGGGTTCCGATGTGAACGGTACTGGCGGCGATGCGTCTCTTGGGTGCCTTGCCAGGATGGGGCACCTTTTTGTTGGTGTTCCAATAGTCAAAGACGCGACCCCAAATCTTGGCTCTGATCTCCGAGGCATCGACGTCGCGCATTCGGTTGCAGGTCGCGAGGTTCTTGATCCACTTCTCCGGGATCTTCTTCTGTTCGTCTGTGAGGTCGGACTCTTCCTTCAGGGGTTTAATCGCCATGGCTGGATATGATGCAGTGCTGTTATTGAGGTTAGCTTTTCGCACGGGAGACTCGTAGTTGTTCATATGGCAGGAGGCGTTACCGAGATGATATGAGGGCTCTGCTGCTGATGACTCGAGGCGCGTTCGTAATTATCATAAGTAGGTGAGCTGTCGCGCTGGTGGTTGGGATTCGCGCGGTATCAGGATAGCTTCGTCTTGTTGAGTGGGAGAGAAAAGACTTTGTGAGAAAGAGATGCCCTCGGCAAGAACACCAATCAGCCCAGTTGGGCCTCTGGACGAATACGCGATATATTCGTCGATACGCCCAACCGTCAGTCAGTCCGGGCACGTTTTCACCCAGTTCGCGGGCCCACACCTTCACGTACGAGGCTGCACATATTGCTTCACTGTTCAGCGATCAATAATACTAGAAAGGCACGCGAAAGGCAAACAATTAGTGCCCAAGCAACAAGATGGAAGATTAAAGAGATCAGAAGATGGTGCCTTCCATTTCTTCTCTATAATCAGCACAAGATATGGACTCGAGAGCATAGCTAGCATGAAGCCTGTCTGTAATGTTCGGTCTTCAGCCAAATGGCCTTCCATATGTCCTCAAAGGCAGTCGTCTGCGCTCAAAGCTGTGATATCGAAGCCAGGGGAACCTAGAAACAACGACATCCAAAAAGAGTTCACCCCCTCGGTGCTGAACTGGGGGCTACATCTCTTGGTGCCCAAGCTGGGATTCGAACTCGGGTACTCGTATGCGCTAAGCCTGTCGTCGAGTAGGCTGGTTGGCGTTGATAATTAAGTCGAACCATTAACCACTCCACCACCCAGCCAGTTTGACCTGACCCGTCGACCTGAACGGGCGCATGCTGGCTGGTGACAGGAACGGTGTTGAGGGTGTATATAAGGGCTCCTTTGGTGGCAGCCTTGTGGGGACGTGAGGTGCTCCATGTGCGGAAGGTACGGCAAGGCTACAGCCATCACCGCCTGCCTCCTCGCATCTGCCCTGCCTAGGTATGCAGTCACGTGGAGGAATCATCCGCTCGCATGGCACTCCTGGGAGGGTCTCAGGGATTGCCTGGGATTGTCCCGGGAGACCCCTAAGGGGTCGATGGGAACTGAATGTCTGGGTATGCATGTCACGCCACCGTCACATAGGCATGAAGGCACATTGATATTTTGCAAAATACATTTTTGAACTACCTATTCTATCTATTTCTCAACGCATCCAACATGGACTGACCCCATACTTACTGACGATACCGTCACTTTCCTTGCCTCTGCTGGTACCATTCTTGTCCTTACCCCGTCCCAGCCTCCTTTCGCCATCCACCTACACAAATTTCTCCCAGGCGCATAATCCTCACGACAACAGGATCTTACCTGGATGGAAGCGGGCCGATAATGGTCTCGAACAAGTCATGCATGATACGACCCATCGGCCTGCCCTCTGTGGTGATATCAAGGGCCTTCGCCAATCGCATGGTCTCGGATTCTGTTAAGCATCAGTAACTTATTTTGAAGTTTCCCTTGTCTGGGGGAAGGGGGGTCGCGGGGGAAAAGGGGCCCCCCATCAAGTTACGCACCATCAATCGACCAAAAGTCCTCACGGGTTGCCGGAAAAGGTTCGATGTCTAGGCACGTGTGGGTGTCAATCAAGGGCATAAGGACTGCGTTGGCTCCGTCTTTGGCAGCGCGTTTGACGTTCTCCTGCCTTCGTTTGTCATTTGCGTACCTAATGAGAGTCAGTATATGCCGATATATTCCCATTATCATTATGTGGGAGTACCCACCCGACAACCATCCAGTGCTTCCCACGTTCGGCTGGGCGGGCCTGGGGGCCGCGATTGGAAAGAGAGCTTTTCTGGATATGTTGTGCCGCAATTGGCTCCTGGACCTTGGCCAGCAGACCCAAGCTCTGAGTGCTCGGCCGCTGGGTTTCCGCATTTTCAACAGTCTTCTTGTCCATCTGAAGACTCAGATTCTCCATGCGCTGCTTCATGGTTTGAAGAGCTTTTTCGATGTCTTTATCCAATTCGGCGAGCCCATTCTCTATAACCTTGGCCAGGTTAGTTACCTCTGCGTTGAGTTTCTCCACGGCAGACTGCAGTTCCTGGTGTGAGACGGGCGCGGGCGTAGAACTGCCGTCGAAAGAGTTGCGCGTCATTGCTTTGTTGGTTTAAAGGCCGTTGGAACAATCTAGCGAGTGGCAGATTAGTAGTCTAGTTATCTTGGAAGGCTTTCTTGTGTTAGGATATTGACCTGTGTGACGCGGTGGTTTGCTATGAATGCCTTTGGTTCTTTGGGTGGTGCCGTGAGTTATGGAGTGCTTGCGATTGACAAGAAAATTGGGTGATACATTCACGGTCAGCAAAGTGAGAAGAGAAGAGAAAGAGGAAGAACTAACATGCCTGGGCTCCAAGGAGTTAATATACTGCGGTTTTGGGACAGCCATGGGGCCGGCGCAGCTTTCTGGAAAACACAACCATTGCGAAGCCAGTAGACCAAGGTTTTAGCATTATGTGACCTGGTTGGCCTACCTTGGTATCTGCGGCAATATTCGGCTTGCCTCGTAGCTCGGCCTCAAGGTTGGGCGTGGATGCCTGCTAGGTCATCGTCACTGAGATAACGGAGACCCTTCCCGAGAGTATGGAAGCACTCCCTGTTATACTTTTGCAGTTTATTCAACGTTTCGATGATTCTGTAAACCGCCTCTACGTGTGATCCTCCTCGATGCTCAGAGGGAAAGGGAGGGGGGGCGTATGATTCTGTGTCGTTGGTAGTGCGCTAGAGTAGGCGTGCTTAGTACTCTGTTGGTGCTCGTTTCAATCCGCATTACAAATACTAAACTTTACTACGAATTGATCGAAACGTAAACATGTTTTCGTATAATAATACGCAGATAAAATAGGATGTCGGTTATTAACACAGGATTTGTTATCATCACCTTAATTTGTTTTTTAATTCTACCTCTGCTAATCGCTCGGGCGGCTCTCGATATCGATTACACGGTATTAATACACAGTATCATTAGATACTCTCACTGTCTCAATAAGTCATTACCTTAATATTCTATGTTTTCTTTCACGTAAGTAGATTCGCTTACGAATACACAAAAGACGAAGCACAACAGGAGGGGTAGAAATAATAGACACAGCAAGAACAGTATTGACAACAGAAAGAGTTTTAGTGGAGCTAGAGCACAAAGCGGCGAAGGACTGTATTACCTACCTGGAATAAGATGGGCTGAAGACTTTAGAATTGTATTTCAAAACTGGCTCCTGGTTATATAATTAAACCTATACAACAGTTTAATAAAAACCCACTCCGGATCGTAGCTCGCGGACTTCGAAGGACAACGTCTCAATCATCGTCTGCTGTCTCTGGACTTGGTTCGTGTGATCGGCAAACTCCTTGGTCAAGTCATCTCGCAGAAGACGGATGGCGCCATCTGCGTCGTGGGTTGACGGGAGCATGTTCGAAACGTTGTTTGCGTTCTCCGTTGTATCGTTATTTGGTTGATTTTGTGTTCGCCTACAGAAGAACCAAAGGCCAAGGTGAGGGTGGCGAGCTGGTTGGGGAGAGAAAGGAACAGCAGACGAGATGGGGTTTATGTAAGGCTATCAGAGGTCGTTCGTGCCGGCTCTACGGTCTTTTAAAAGGCACACCAACTCAAGGCTCAAGGTTTGCCCCTTTTCTTCATGCTACTCTCCAGATGTACCGTGATGACTATCGGAGTCGAATGCGCAAGCATACAAGTCGTGACGCAGTCACATCTTCAAATATAGGAAATCTTTGTTGGTGCCAAAGGCTCACGTCTCTATTTGACTAAAGGTTAAAAAAAGACTAAAAAAACACTCGTTCGTTTCTTCGCCCGCGCCCGATCGATGGATGATAGGGGGGGGGGGGGGGGGTTCCTCGACCGCCAGGAGCGGGAGTTGTTGTCCATGCCTTCACTTCAATACAAGGTTCCGGCAAAGCGCTCATACACCTCATGCATTAGCTTGGTGTATGAGACGTCCTCTGACTTCATGCCGAGATTGATGGCAAGCTGGCGGAGGTCGCGTTCTGTGTAACATTAGCACTGAGCCCTGGGCATCTGAGTCACTCATACTGCCATTCCACTTCTAATCTCCCTTATCCTTGGTACTTTTTCCTCTATGTATTCCCTATAGAATACGCACAAAGGCTCGGACGTTGAAGAATAGACCAGGGTTGAAACACAGCGTTCTGTAAGTCACTCGAGGCATATACTTCCGATCATTTCGCGGACTCACACCAGTGTCGTGAACGCAACTCAGCGCCTTAAGAACGTCAAGACGGCATCGTGGCAGCCCTCACCAGATACAATCTGGACTGAAATGCTATCGACATACTGAGAGTCGGCTATCTTGAAGACAACGAGGCGAATTTCCCAGTTACCATGTTCGTCTCGGCGAGAAAGGATTGTACAACGTGGCGAACACGATGTTCGCAACAGAATCGCCCACGCTGGTAGCAGAGTTAGAGCGCAAAGCAGGGATAGCACCAGGTGATTAGTAAACATAACGATAAGGATAGATCCCGGCGGCGGCAGTTTTATTAGTCGAGAGTAGTAACCTAGGTCAGGTCATCATGGAATTAGTCAGGCGAAGAAGCTGACACTACCTCCCATACCATAGTACCTATTATTATGTAATCAGTAGAGCTACCTTATATTAGCACCGCGCCAGAGTGCTCTTTATACTTAGAGGAAACAAGCATCAATTACCACCACTTCTTAAATCGTAGAATCGAAGTCGCCAGATATGGCTGGGCACCGGATGTAGTCCGTGTGTCCACCCGGCTGTGGCTGATGCCAACGGTACACCTCCACCTCCACCTCCAAAGCGGGCCAGGAAGCTTCTCTCTTCCATCCACGCACCCTATCAACTATTACTTCGCCAACAGAGCAGCCCTCTTCCCTGCTACCTTTCATACCAAAGAATCCGGCGGAATAGATTGCCCATCCCGCTCCGTTCGGGACCCGTCTCCGAAGTCGATACTGCCTCGAGGCGGTCCAGCTCCGATCAGCAAGCAGCCAAAGCCGGAACCGGCCGGTGACAAGCGTTGATCTCGATGGGGCCACCAAAGCAGCCAGGCCGTTTCGCCGATTTTGTCCCACCCTAGCGGGCGGATTGACGTCCCAATGTCTTTATTCGATATGTTCGGCAGCTCGCCTACGCGACCCCCGAGCCCCCGGGCAATGATGTTCAGTCGCAGTCGCATTCACAATCGCAAACAATCGCAAACCACATGCCCATACGTGCTTACGGAGTATCGATAGTCGACAATTCTCTTTGACAGCTGCGACGGGCTCGTTAACTCGTCTCCACCCACTTTACCGCCCCCCGGATTGCGTGTGTTTCAAAGTGGATTGCTTTCCTTGTTCTCCAACACCCGGCCAGAATGCAGCTTGCCCGTGGCCGGGGTCGGCGCCGGGGGGTGGGTAGTCATTTAGGTGTGATCGATAGTGTCGCTTCGGCGCCGCCATGACTCGAGCAAACAGCGTCGCTTTGCAAGTATTAAGGGCCTAGGGTGGGCGCGCTTGAGGATTTGGCGCCGTTGAAACACTTTTGCTCTGCGACGACACCCTAGGTACTCATCTCTTCGTTCTTCATGTTTCTTGAGCATTTCTGTTTGCGTCGGCTATTGACTGCTTAGCAGGAGTTCTATGGATTCGGCAACTGAAGCATGACGACATTGCGAAAGCTTGTGCAAGAAGCCGCTTAAGTTATCGAGATCGGAGCGATACCCGTGTCTCGGCATTGCGATTGGCGCGCTTCTCCGGAATAGGGAAAAGGGACATCATGAGTGCTCCCCCTCCTCGCATCGCCCACGATGTCGAAAAGTTGGGGCCACAGCAGACGATGGAGTCGCGCCCTCATGACGACGATGACGCTCGCATGAAGGAAGCCGTACACAGCGACGAAAAGGCGCTGCCGTCGTCTTCCTCGGACGACGACCCGCCGGGAATCGTGGCGCAGGACACGGACCCGGACACGGATGCTGGGCACGGGGCCGGCGCCGATGCCAGCGGGATCGTGGGCCGGGTGCTCAGTCGGGCCACATCCAGGTCCAGTATTGTACAAGGTCCGCCTCCCGATGGGGGCGTCACCGCATGGATGGCGAGTGAGTTGCTGCATTCCAAGAAACCTGACCTCATGAGGCTAACTTCCACCACAGTCTTCAGCGCCCATCTGGTCATTATGAATACCTGGTAAGTCCATCATAAGCTGTGTACATCCAGCCAAACTAACAAATCGCAGGGGCATCGTCAACTCCTTCGGCGTCTTTCAATCCTACTACACCACTCTTCTCGGCCGCCCGCCGTCGGACATAGCCTGGATCGGCTCCTTCGAGGTCTTCCTCCTCTTCTTCATCAGCACCTTCAGCGGCCGCCTCACCGACGCAGGCTACTTCCGCCACCTATTCATCGCCGGTTTTCTCTTTGTCTTTCTCGGCATGTTCGCCACCTCCTTCTGCTCGCAGTACTGGCAATTATTCCTCTCGCAGGGGATCTGTCTAGGCCTCGGCAACGGCTTGCTCTTCTGCCCGGCACTATCGACGGCGTCAACCTACTTTGACAAGAAGAGGGCCCTCGCTCTGGGGTTCGTGTCGATTGGCAGCTCGACGGGAGGGCTGATCTACCCCAGCATGGTGAGGCAGCTGCTTCCGAGTATCGGGTTCGGGTGGACGATCCGCGCTATCGCGTTCGTGCAGGCCGGCACGCTGGTCATCAGCTTCATCTTCCTGAAGCCGAGGGTCAAGCCCAGGAAAGCCGGCAGCATCGTCGAGTGGGCTGCTTTCAAAGAGTTGGAGTACACTTTTTACGCCATAGGATCGTTCCTAGTAAGCTCCCTCTCACAACCCCCTCTTCCACTCGATATCAGTCTCCCTAGACCTTTCACTCACCATTATACAGAACTACCTAGGCGTCTTCTTCGCCTTCTACTACTTAGCCTCCTACACCCGCGACATAATAGGCCTCTCCTACAACGCCTCCCTCAACCTCCTCCTCGTCCTCAACGGCGTCGGCGTACCAGGCCGCATCCTCCCCGGCTACATCGCCGACCGCGTCGGCTCCATAAACACCCTCATCCCAATGTCCCTCGCCTCCGGCATCCTCATGTACTGCTGGATCGCCGTCTCCTCGACAGCGGGTCTCTACGTCTGGACCCCCTTTTACGGCCTCGTCGCCAGCGCGATCCAGAGCCTGTTCCCCTCGGCGCTGAGCCAGCTAACGAGCGATCCGCGGAAGCAGGGGACGCGGATGGGCATGACGTTTACGATTGTGAGTTTCGCGGTGTTGACGGGTCCGCCGATTGCTGGGGCGATTATTCAGGCCGAGGGAGGGAGGTATGTGGGCGCGCAGGTGTATGCAGGGTCGTGTTTGCTTGCTGGTATGTGTTTCTGGTGTGCGGCGAAGATGGTGAAGACGAAGAGGGCCGGGATGGGGTTGAAGGTTTGGGTCAAGGTTTGATGAAGTGATGATTGTCTGGAGCTGGTTGGGAGCCTTTCCATACGTTTTTGTAGACGTTTTCTTTTGTGTTACAAAGGTTAGATGGACAGAGTGTGGTGTGAGGTTGATGATGCGGCTAGAACCGTCGACTCTTCATCAAGTTATTTAATGTAATTATGCAACAATGCCTTACAGTGACCAAGATAACTGTTGGTGTTCTATTAATCTTGACAACCCCAAGCTGTTCCCCATTACCATCCTCGCCAGATCCTCACAACGCACCGCCATCACTACTATCCCTCTCCGAACCAGAATAACCGCCATTTCCCATCGGCAGCCGTCGTCATCAATATCCCGCTTTCCCTTTTTCTCTCTTGGCAAAGGTGCAGCAAGACAGCATGTCAACGACCCCTATTAACCCCAAGAAGGCGACCCCAACTAATTCTCGCTGCAGGATCTCGGACAAGAGTCAAACTAAAGCCAAAATAAGGCAAAGCCAAGAGAAGGCAAAGTGAGACACTTCATCAGCACACACACACACACCCAAATCCCGTCCAATAAGACGCCGTACCAAATAACCCCAAGTCATACAACCCGCATTTGCATATGCCGGAAAACGACCCTCCCCTTTCCCCGGCGTGGCCGTTGTCGAACAATAACGGCGCGCAACCACCACCACAACCATCATGCAGATTCTCGGATTTCGTGCATAATCGAGTGCGAGTACAGCTGTGCCACCCGGCCGTAAGGTACCGGAGGGAGCTGGCTGCCCCGCATCGCAGACGCATCCTATCAAATGATCATTCATGAATCCCAATCCCGCGTTACGGCCCCCATGTTTCCTCCGGAGTTGCTAAGAAAGGAAAATGCAGAAAGAATGTAGCGTGTCCCGGATTTAAACGACCTCTCAAGTGCTTGACAGACACACTGAAACCGGCGCGCATCCGTCAGAAGGCAGGTGACCCGATGCAAGTTTCCCCCCTTTTAAACGACCCCTCCTCTTCCAGAAGCACGGCTACGGCCGTTTGACAGTTCTTGACTTCCGTCAGAATTCTACCGTCTTTTCGTCATTCACTCGTGACAGTTGTAGACAAGAACACATTGAAGACAGAGGATCAAGACGAAATGGTATCTCTTGTTCATTGGTGATATCTATCTAATGCTAAAAACCCAAAGCTACAACAAAACCAAACCCTCAACGCTATGTCTATCTCAACGAAGAATCTAAGTATCTATAAGAGTAAAAACAAAGGAAACAAAAGAGAACTACAAGAAAAGAAAGATACAAAACAACAGATTGAATATGTCAAGGAAACCCCCCCACCATCCTTCTCACACTCTCCCCGCCCAACAACCCCGCCAGCCTCGCCATATCAAGCTCCCCGAGCGCAGGGTACACCCGCTCCCGCGGCACCTCCCCGCCCACCGCCAACACCCCCTCGTCCTCCATCCACTTGCGCAGCGCCGCCTTCATCGGCGCCGGCGTCATGGGCGAGTGGTACAGCATGTGCAGCGCCTGCGCGCGCATGTCGCTGACGTGCTCGTCGCCCTTGTTGTCGTGCAGGTGCGGGTTCCGCGTCTCGATTTGGTGGATCTGCACCGAGGCGTGCTGCTGCCGCGAGCCGTTGCGGCCGAGGCTGCTGTTTCTGCTGCTGCTACGGCTGCTGCTGCTGCTGCTGCTGTTGCTGCTGCTGCCAAGGCGGACGGGCGAGGCGGGAGGCGACAGGAGCTGCGACATTGACGACGGAGATATCGGGCTGCTTGCGTCTGAGAGCGTGTCGCTGTTGTTGTCGTCGTCGAGCCTTGTGTGGTTGATGTGGTTCTGGTGATGATGGTGATCCAAGTCGCCCATCTGCTCCAGGAGGTAGAGGTACTCATACGGCTCGACGGCAAATCCGCTCGCCATCCTAAGCTTCAGCGCAAGGCTCATCGTCATGGCGTGCTCCCCCGCGTTCCCCGTCGTAATGCAATCCGTCCCGTAACCAGAGAACTCTTGCAGGAGATTATTCAACCACTCGTTGACCACCCTTGAACTCCGCCCCCTCCGATCAAACATCAGCCGCCCGTTCCGCTCCTTGGGCTTGGAGCTCCACGACACCCGGACCATGGCATGTTCCGCCGTCGCTCTCGATAGGTGGAACCCGGCAGCATAGCTCTTGCAGTACTCGTTGATGGACCCGGGGATGTAGTTATCGGCGTCCACGAAGCCGACGTACTCCCTCTCCATCAGCGCGGCGACAGCCATGCCGACGAGCATCCCCTCCCCTTTACCACTATGCACCAGCCCGTCGTCGTCGCTCACCAACTCAGGGGCCCCCGCCGCCGCAAACGCATCAGCGACGCCAGGGTCCTTTTGGTGCACCGCGATAGCGAAGCGATCGGCCTCGCGGCAGAAATTTTGTAGGATGTTGACCTCCGTCTCGTACCGGTCGTTGTAGCCGCCCTGTGCTCGGTTGCTGTTGGAGACGAGGACGATGAGGCAGTCGTGCGGGATACCCGAGAAGACGGACTCGATTGTGCGGAACTCTTCGTTCATGCAGAGCACGACGATGGCCATGCGCGACTCGATGGCGAGAAACTCATCCCGCGAGACGGTGAGGCTGGAGGATGTGCTGCGTCCCGAGCCGGCGTCGAGCTCGATGACGCGCTGGAGCTCGTTGATTTGTATTGAGCCTAGGCGCTCGAAGCGGGAAGGCCGTGTAAGTCTCATTGTGTGGGGAGTGAGAGTTAAGGTGAGAAACGGCTTGAGCCGAAGAAGGGTAGGGTGAGAATGATTGGGAGATGTGATTCGAGTTTGATTTGCTCTGCTGAAGAAGAAGGGTGTACTGGACTAAAACAAAGATTGGTATGGTTAAATAGGTGTTTGTACTTGACTGGAGCAGACTTTAGAGCAGTTGAGCTTGGTGACTCTTACCTTCTTCTTCCCAGATATCCAAGCAAGACCCCCTTCGTAGGCCATCCTTATATGTATTAACATTTGACCCTGTGATCCAACGGCCCGGTTCGTTGCCCACACCCAAGCAAAAGCACCAACGGCAACAAGAGCGTAAAGAGAATGGGTAGACAGACAGACAGTCAGTCAGACTACGGTTGGGCGTTCCAACGGCCGTAATCCGGCTACCCAGGTAGGTAGGCCAGATATCGAGACCTCATTCGCAAAACCACAAAAAAAGGCCCCCAACGGCAACGGGTAGACTGTCGTTCATCACCTCTGCTATTCCACCGCATTGGTCAGGTCCCGGCAGGTTGTCCTGTTGCTCGCATTTGCCTAAAGGGTCGTTGCAGTGCCCACGTTTGCCTGCGTCTCCCGCTGGAGAAGGGGATCCAACGTTATTCGTCAACTTTGCATTGTATGGAGAAAGTGTTCCGTCGACAGGGGTTGGAAAAGGAGAGAGAGAGCAAGAAGGGAAAGAAAAAAGAAAGCAACCGGGATTGTCAGAAAAATGATGTAGAATCGAAAGTGTGCTGCACTGCATTCAACCTACGTCAAGTCCGAGTGACCAACAAGCGACCTCCAACACCGGCCATATCTCGACAGGGGTCTTTACACGCTGCGCCTCTCTCCTGCTGAAAAAGTGTAAGTGGGTAGAACAGACGAAGCCATCTGCAACAAAGAATCTTTTTTGAATAATCTCCACTGGCGAGAAGCGAAAGAAGAGTAATTATGAGCAACTGAATTTTAGTCAACTACTTAGATTACAAATCGCCTTCACAGAAAAACGAAATTGTACGTATCAAAAGTGCCGTGGTGAAGAAAAAAGACGGGCACAGCCGCTGTCAAGATACCACCGCATTGGTCGACACCAAACTCAGAACTTAATTGATCCTAGCAACCTAGGCGCATTCCAAAAATCTCACGTGCGTTGGTTTCCCATGCCATGGGTTTGACTCAAGTTCGAAAAAAGTGCGAGAGAGCCTTGTACGGGGGGGAACTGGGGGTGGCTCTTCTCAATGGGCCAGTTGGGCGCGGTTGTGGCTCTCTCCTTTTCCACCAACACAACACAACACACACACACAGCCACGCACCGCGGCTGTTGGTTTCGTCTTACCACATTCAAAAAGTGCCTGAATGGTTCCAACTTCCGCTTCGCCTTGGGGAACCAATGATCTCATTTGGCTGTGCTGAGTAATTTCCGCCGCGCAGTCGTTGGGTCTAGATGATAGGCCCAGGGGTGGCTTGACACTCGAGTTGGCCTCGTTGAGCTCCTTCAGTCTTTTGGCAAATTACATCGTCCCATATCACCCCCTCACTCGGTGTGATAGAACGTCAGAGTAACGAGCAACTGGGTTTTCTTGTCTTCCTCTCTCCTAATTGCTCGTCATAGAATATCTTACAATTGTGCCAGGACCGAAGGCTACGTTCCATTGTTTTCCGTACAGCCAATCAAACCAACATCCAACGCCAACATTCACAATTCCCAGTAATGACCAGTCCCTATTCCTTCGACATGCCAGTTCCCCCATCCCCAGCCAAATCTCTCACCGCTTCTCCAAGGGCAAAGGAGTCGTTGCTCAGGTCGGGGTTGTACTGATGTTCGTCTTGCCAAGCTTCGTTGCTAGTAATATTGTCGTCATCTGAATTGTACTCTCACATCATTCGTCAAGTCGTTGGTAACTTTCATTTCCCCGTGTGATGCCACATCTCGTGACTTTTTCAGAGACGGTACAGTGACTGTAGGCTACGAGGGTAGACAAGCAAAGTTCGAGTGCTGACTCACTTCTTTCGAGTGGACGAGCCCTTCTTCGGCGTGGGAGCGTAGGGAGCGCAAGTGATAGAATCGGCACTCCTGCCGCCCTCAGAGAACTAGGATGTGGAGACGGTCTTCTCGCGCAGCTCGTTCATGGCAGCCGCCAGGGACTTTTCGTGAGCATCCTGCTTCTCCTTGATGCTTCGGATATCGTCCATAATTGTCTTCATGTCGTCTCGAATGTTCTGCTGGTCCTCTTCCAAGGCCTCCTGCTTGAACCGACCGACGCGAATGTCGCCTTTGAGATCCTTGATGGCTTGCTTGTTGTCGGCTCTTTTAGCTGCCACAGCCTTCTCGAGGGAGGATACCTGATGCTTGGTAACCTCCATGTCCATCTTGGCTCGCACCAATCGGAACTCCACGGCTTCAACACGGACATCATCTCCAAGACTCTTTTTCTCATCTTCAAGACTTTTCTTCTGAATCTCGCGGATGGCGTCATCTATTGCCTCCAAGTGGCTCTGCATCTTCGCAACGGCGCTCTTGATAGGCGGCAGCATCTCGTCAAGTCTCTCGTCGCGTTTGGCGTGAATCAAATTGCTGACATCGGCAAACATCTTCCTCTCGGAGTCCTTCAGGTCTGCGGCGGTGACAGCCTGCGAGTTGCTAGGCTGGCTCGCTGCTCTCAGCAATTTGGTAGACTCCAGCATCGCGTGGACGATTCGCTCAACATCAGCCTCGGTCATTGGCTTAGCCGCATTCGAATCCGCCATGGTCATGGTAGCTGCGTCCGCGGTTGAAGGAGCTGCTTTGGTGGGAGTTGCCGGAATTGGAGCAGTCGTAGTGGGAGTCGCGGTGATGTGAGCTACGGCACCGGTGGAAGCGGAAGCCGAAGTGTTTCGAGCTGGGGAAATTTGGGCTGCAGAGACTCGAGCGGAAGGGATTCTAGATGAAGGAATTCTAGCGGAGGTCGGAGTAGAAGAGGTTGACGATGAAGAGGTTTGCAGAGAAGATTTTAAACCACCGGGCTGAGCTCGAGAGGTGGATCCATGGAGGCTGCCGGAACTTGCTGCCTCAGTTCCATGAGCTGCCTTCCTCTTTTGCTGGCTCGACTGTTGATTGTTCGTGGTAGATTGAGTCTCTTCATGGGCGCGGCCCTGCTGCTGGGGACGAGAGACAGCCCGAGACTCAAAGAGCTCCTCCGGGCTCCGATCCCGATTAGTGAGTGACGTTCTCGCACCTGCCTGTCCTTGATTGTTGTTGCCTTTTCCTTTGTCAGTGATTTGAGTCTTTGTTCAACTCGTCTTTGTGGTGTTCTTACCGCTCTGCCTGGTATTGGTGGCAGGATACTGAACTCCGCCAGCCATTGTCACAACGATCTCTCTCGCGATCAACTCCTCAAAGGGAATGATGTGGCATCTTCCATGCATATGCAGCCATTTGCTGTACCCACTGTAGTCGGAGTGTGCAGTCTTGGCCCTGCGCAAGGCGGCAAACTCGTGAGCAAAGCATGTGCTAATTTCAGAGTTCTTGTTGGCACGATCGTGGATCATCGTGGCGAGGTAGCTCGTCTCAATGCAAGGGTCGTCTTGAAGAAGACACCAAGCGATCCAGACGTGGACAATGAGCGGTTGAGTCTCCTTGAAGCTAGGATCCTCATCGGCTCGCACCATGATGGCAACGGCACTCTGGATGATGGGATGTTGAGGTCCAGGAACCCAGACAGAGCGGCGCATGATTTTTCTGGCTTCCAAAAAATACACGTCGGCAAGCTGGGGGTTGGAGTTGATGAGGGGCTTCCTGATCTTTCTGAATAAGAAAGGAATGCTGGTCATATTGGCCTTCTGATTGGCAGCCCAGTATTTGTTTCTGAACTTTCTTTCCAGACGAGCGTCGTGAACCATGTTGAACCAATCCGCCAGGGGCTTTGCACGCCAGTTATCAAGGCGAATGAAGATCTCGGCTTTGAGGTAGCGCATGAGGTCAACAATCTCTGCTTGGCCCTTGTTCTTCAAGACCGACTTGGTGGTTGAATGGTATGTGTTTGCACCCAACAGAAGGCCTTCTGTCTGCCGAGTAGTCGTGACGGTGTGCATGATGTTGTTGTATGTGTCCCTGAGGTCAGGGGTGTGGATGATCTCCTTTCTCATGGCTTGGTGGGCCGCCTCTTCAGAGTATCTGATGGTAGTCACCATGTGTTTGGTGGGCGCCTTTGCTGGGGCTTGCCCCCGCTTTTTGAAGGCGCTGGTGGTCCGCTGGCCCGCTTCATCGTCCTCACTCTCGGAGAGGACGGCAGCAGGTCGCTTCCGAGAGTGAGAAGCCATGCTCAGCGGGCCCTGTCCCGGGTTCTGTCGGTTCATCGCTTTCTTTTTTAGTATTCCTGGAGAAATATGATTCAGAGGGTGGGAATGAGGCGAGGAGGAGAGGTGCGTGAGGGATGTTGTAGAAAAGGAAAGGCAAAGTGTAGAAGAAGCGCAAGTGAAGAAAGTCGCGATAGGGAGGTGTGGATGGGAGAAGATAAACATACCGATGAGAGCTAAAAAAAATGTCCTTTTGCGCGGTTGATGATGTGGAGAGAGAGGGCACAGAAGATTGCAAAAAGAATTTCTTGCGCTGAGGAGAGGGATGAAGGAGATGAAGTCAAAGTTGAGAGAGGGACCTCCTGTCTGGATGAGAAAGAGTCGCGTCACGCGTTTGGGTTGTTGTGGAAGAAAAGTGTGCGAGATGAGGGCTTGAGGCCGAAGGGAAGCTGGAGCCTGGAGGTCGAGGCAGATATGGAGGAAGGTGAATACAGAGATGAAGGTGAGTTTGAGGATGAATATGAAGGTGATGAAGGAGGTGAAATTGAAGCGCCTCAGTCTGCCTGCTTCATGAAAGTTGCCCCAGGCCTGAGGCACTTGATATCTGGAGCAGTTCACGCCTTCAAGTCATAGGTGGATCGTAGAAGATGAGAATTTGATGAGAAATCCTCAATCTTCGGTGAACGACTATTTACAAGGAGCCATATCTCACGATCATCCGCCGGATAAAAGACACCTTGCCTGGTCTTGCAGCTCAAGCGCAATTCATCCACCACATCACGTTATATTTCTTCTATGTATTACCTCTAACATGACGATTAGTCCTCCTGAATCGCGAGTTAACCGTCTGGTGCTTAAAGTCTCAGAAGATTCATATGAGATGGTCGTCAACTACATATATCAACTCTGCGCTAGTGACATGGTAATACCGCATAAATGAAGTCGGCTGTCGTTTTTGACACACGTGACATGAATTCAGCAATGTTGCCCGTCCTTCCCTTTCCCATCCAGCTGACTTTCACTTGACATTGATTTTGGATGCTACCAGGCTTCGAGATGTTGGAGCGTCACAGCAGACACCACATAGGAGAGTGATTGGATGGAGCCAGTTGGATGCGGTCACAGCCACTTGCTTCCAACAGACCAATCCCAGCGTCGAGGACAGGTATTTCAGAACATTAGACCGTACAGTTACTGACTACTCACAATCGTTCTTTGATTCTAGAATATTACAAGAAATTTGCATGTGATTCATCTCTCATGATCTAGGACTTCTGCGACCCCTGGCATCGACTTTATAGAACTAGGTGTGGATCCCTCATTTGAACTGAAATGTAAAAAGGAGTGTAATTAATCAGATCCGGGCGTGTATCAAGCAAAGTAAAAGCTTGTACTTCCTGATATTACCAGGTAAATACGACGACGAGGTTCATTACATCAGATTCAGTCACAACAATCACATCGCCAACATCATCTCAAGAAACCACGAAACCATGAACACACTCAACGCCTCGTCGTTGTTACACAAGACTCCAAAACCCCACAATCCAATACCTGACTAACCCACTCGTATGCCATGCCCCTCCCCGCTCCCGTCCACCGCCGCCCAATGCTCACATAATCCTCCCCCTTCCCTGCCCCTCCCCTCGGCCCGGCCCCGCGAACGGCTCCGGTGGGATGAACTACACCCATCGCCCATCCCATCTTCCACCCTAACCACCAAGCCTCTCCCCTACTCGCAGCCAACCAAACATTCTCAATCTCTTCCATGACGACAAAAAGCTGAGAAATCACAGCTCTCTTCCATCTTCCAAGACGGAGAATTCTCTCCCCTCAAAAGTCCGACCTCTATACACCACTTCCTTTCTACAGAGCCATCATCAGACATATAACTTCAAGTTCCCCCATCACGATCATCATGACCTCCCAAGCTCACCACCACCTCCTCACTTCTTCCCACCCTCCTTGATTTCCCCCAAGAAACCACCACAATCCAATAAATCAATAACCAACACCCAGACAACATGTCACTCAACATCCCCAACCCAACCCTCCCCCCAGCCTCCACAATCGTCCTCACAGGCGCAAACGGCTACATCGCAAGCCACATCGCAAACCAACTCCTCCTCCAAGGCCACCACGTCCGCGGCACCGTCCGCTCCCCGTCCAAAACATCATGGCTAGCCGCCCACTTTGACAAAACCTACGGCCCCGGCAAATTCACCCTCCACGAGGTCGCCGACGTCGAGAAGGACGGGGCGTTTGACAACGTCGTCGATGGTGCGTTCACCCTCTTCCTCATCCGACATAGTCACACACACGCACGCGCACGCATCCTTCTCACTTGATCTTCATGTCAAAAGTGACGAAAGAGAGGAAGAATGAGATTCAGCCCCTCACTCAACCTCATATCCCATCTCACTGCAGACTACAACTCCAAACTTCCTGAAGCTGACCAAACCAACCAAAATGACCAGGCGCCGACGCAGTAATCCACACCCTAGCAATAATGAACTTCTCCCCCAACGGCCCAACCCCCGGGGAAACAATAACCTCAAATGTAAACGCAACCCTTTCCATCCTCCGCTCCGCAGCCCGCTTCACCGCTCCCTCCCCAGACAAACCGGGCGTAAAACGCTTCATCTACACCTCTTCCTCGGGCGCGGCCGCCATGCCCCGTCCCGGAGAACCCTACACCGTAGACGCGACCTCCTACAACCACCAGGCCGTCGCCATCGCCCTCTCCGGAAAGGGGCCCAAGGGTATGGCGGGCGGGTACATCACCTACTCCGCCGCAAAGACCAGGGCCGAGCTGGAGTTGTGGAAGTGGTATGAGGAAGAGAAGCCTGGGTTTGTCTTGAATTCGAGTAGGTTCATTGATATATTTTCTTTTCTTTCTGTGTCCAATTCCCGTCTTTCTACTCTTCATATCCCCTCGTCCTCCTCTTTCTGTGTAACGGTTTCCCTCTCTTTCATCTCCCGGGCCTAACGTGAATAATCGATAGTCGTGCCCAATGCCGCACTGGGCAAGGTCCTCCTCCCGGAACACCAAGGCTTCCCCACTGCCGTTGGCGCAATGCGACCCCTCTGGCAGGGAAATGTCACGCCTGAGTTCGTCGCAATGTTCCCAGCTCGTAAGTACACGATCCCCTCCTGCTGCTCTGACTTGCCTCACTCGAAATACTTAAACAACCATACCCCCCACCCTCTGCATCCCAAATTAACCCCTCCCAGAATGGTACTGCGACGTCATCGATATAGCTCGAATCCACATTGCAGCACTCCTCCTCCCAGACGTCCAGTCCGAACGCCTCATTGCCTACGCGGGCAAGTTCAACATCAACGACCTCCTCGCCGCCTTCCGCCAAATCCAACCAGACCGAACCTTCCCCGACGACCTTCCCGATCTCGCCTCCGATAAGGGCACTATTGCCAACGAAAGAGCCACTCAGCTGATGGAACGTCTTCAGGGTGGCAAGGGCTGGACGAGCTTGAAAGATTGCCTGGCGCCGTTGGCTGAGCAGTATGCAGCGGCTGAGGCGGAATCAAAGTGATGTCGAAACGAAGTCAGAGGCGAGTGGACACATGGACGAGCTTCACCGGGTCGTATCTTTGAGAACGCAAAAGCCTTTCAATTGTCCTTGGGGTACTGTCGGACTGCCGCTTGGCTGTCTCATCAGGCCAATGGAATGCTGTATATCTACAAGTCGCGCTGAAGCCAACCCCCGGTGCTAGGCTTGGAAAGTTGAAAAGCATCGTGTCGTAAAGTGAAATTGGTATCTGAGAGAGAAATTTACATCACGATCTATCGGCAAAGTTAGCAGTGCACTCATCAACAATAGTGCGGCTTCACTTACGCAGTCAGACTCATCCTTCCCCTTAGGAATGCCCATCGCCTCGAAGGTGGCAGGTCCCTGGCCCGTCGCTTGCTTCTTGGGAGGGGGCATAGTCTGAGCACTAGGAGCAGGGCTGGGTTGCTGCTGCGGGCGCGGCTGAGATGAGGGCGGCGCACTGCCCGTTCGACCCGGCTGCTCGGCAAGGTCTGGTCGGTTGGGGAAAGGCCGGGGCTGACCCGCCGGCCCAGGACCGGGACGCGGTTGGCCTGAAGGGCTAAGCGGCATCGAGTCAATTCGCTGAGGTGCCGCGCCTCTACCGTATCCATACTGAGCATCAGGGGGGATGGATGATGTTCGCTGGGCAAAGTTGCCGGCTTGCGCAGGCGGCGGCGTAGGCTGACCGTAGTCGCTCGGGCCATAGCTTCCCTGCTGCGGAGGGTATGGGCTTTGCTTAGGCGGCCGGTTCGCGGCTGGGTTGGGAGGAAGGCCACCTGCCGCTGGGTAGGGTTGGCCGGGTGGTCGCGCGGCGGGACCAGGGCTCGGCTGGCGATATCCTGCAGGCCCTCCGACAGGCACACGACCGCGCGGGTCCGAACCGGCCGGCGGAATCATGTTGCCCATTGACTGTGAAGCGCGAATGTTGCCTGCAGGTCCCGGAGGACCACCGGGACCGGTGCGAATGCCAAACGCGCTACCGGGACGATCAGAGTGCGGGCCAGAGACGGGACGACCACCACCGTAGTGAGGGGAGAGTTGAGGCCCAGCGCCCCTGCCACCGCCGCCGCCGCCGTGGTGCATCTCATCCTCGGGATACGGTGCCGTCGATTTCGGTCTGTTCAGGTTGAGCGGAGCGGGGCGGTCGTCCTCTGGGTATGGAGCAGCCGACTTGGGCCGGATTGCAAGGTTGGAGTCGAGGTTAACGGTGAATGCAGCTGGCCTGTTGCCCATGCTATTGGGCCGTGACGGGTCAGGGTAGTCAACGGTGTCGTGCGGCGCCGAAGAAGGGTGCACTCTGGGCGACGGGTGAGGAGATGTCTTGGCAGACGTAGACGGGTAGCCGGGGTGAGCATCGGTCGGGGTGACTGGCGTGCTCTCGGAAACAGTCGGCATGGTATTCGGCTGCTTGAAGCGATCGGGCCTCTTGCCGCGCTGCGAACCATGCTGCGACTTGATTCTCGTCAGCGTCGTAGTCTCGTGGTCGGCCTTGGTCAGACTCTTCTCGTGATCCAAGGCATCAATTCGGCCTCTGGCGTCCTTGTTGCCATGGTCAGCAGCCGCCTCGTACCAGAATCTGGCTTGGCGGAGATCCTTGGGCACATGAACGCCAATCTCGTAGTAGTATCCCATGGCAAACTCTCCAGTCGGCAACTTGGCGTTGGCAGCATCTTGAGCGTACTTGAAGGCCAGCTGTTCATTCTTATTGAAGATGCCCTCATATCCGAACAGGAACCATCTGCTCACACCGAGCGACGCCTCGGGCTGTCCTTGCTGGGCGGCCAGTCCGTAGTAATGCAGCGAGTACGCTGGGTTAAAGTCGCACCCAAGCTGGCATAGCTCGTAGGCCTGACCAATCTTCAACTGAGCCTTGGCGAAGCCAAGGTAAGCGGCCTTCTCGATATACATCTTGGCCTGGTGCAGGTCCGTCTGAAGCAGAGCCTCCGGAACATCAATGTCAGGGAGGTCCCTGGCGAGGAGCATTCCATAGACATACGACCCTTGCGGCGCATCCTCGTCCGAAAGGTCAGCAGCCTCCCTAATAAGGTCTAGACCTCGCTGGTAGTCTTTCTGATGGTTGTGCTGGCCGAGCAGGCTCATCATGCCCAAGCGGTACATAGCGGCCGAGTCTTTGAGTCGCAGACCGAGGTAGTAGTGCTCGACGGCTTTGCTGTAGTCGTTCGAGTTCTCAAACAGCATGCCCAGACGATACTCCGCACGCGCGTAGCCAAGCTCTGCCGCGCGCTGGTACTTTGTGTACGCATCTCTCTTGTCAGGTCTGCAGCCAAACTTTCCGAACTCGAGCCACTTTGCTTTCATAAAGAGTGCCTCGGGATGTTCCTGGCCCACCAAATAGTTGACAATGTTGATTGCGTCGACGCGCAGCTCGTGCTCGACGTTTGGTGTCTGGCGGCCACTCTCTGGGTCTCGGCTTCTGGCATCCATAACAATCTCAGCCCAAGCCAAGGTGTCGCGAGCCCATGACAGCTGCATAGAAACATTATTCGAGTGCAGGACATGCTCGCGGGCGTTCCACAAGATCGTTTCCTTTTCCTCGTCCGTCGGGGGGACGTTGTCCCCTGTGAGCTTTGGGAAAGGAGAGAACGAGGGTGCCGCGCTGGGCCGCATCTTATGAGGGTTGTCGCTCGCGCTGTTCTCGTGGAAGGGTCTGTAGGAGTCGGTCGGGGGTGCGCCGGCTTGGGCGTCGGGTCCTCCTTTCGGCGGCAGCGAGGGCGCACCAGAATCGGTTGGCTTGAGGACAGAGGACAGGGACGGCTCACGACCGTGTCGGTTGGTGACGTTGTTGCTGGAGACGGCTGCTCGGTTCGGGGAGACTTCGCGGGCTTCAAGTTCCATGCGCTGAAGGTCGTTTTGCATGTTCTGGGGGACCTGAGGCGTTACACTGGAGGAGAGGTGCGGTCAGCATAAGGCTATCGGGTTAGGAAAAGGGACGGAACAAAGACAAGGAGCGGCGCCAAAAACGGCCCCATCTCCAGTTCCAGCCAGCGGGAAAGGAGGGACCCATGGTCGATCCGCCAAGATTAAAATGAGGGAATACGCGTACCGTTGAGGAGCAGGTGCAATGACCTCGGGCATGTAGTAGTCATCGAACCCTCCAGGAACGAAGGTTGCGCCGAATTGTGGCATCTCGTCAGTTGTGTTTTTGGGCTGAGGTGCACCTGCATAAATAGGAGGATATCAGTCAGCGGGGGTTGAGTCGAATGACGTTTAGGTTGGAGCCACCGCCAGCTTTTTTTCTGTGTGGTGGTCTCTTTGCTGACAGTTGGGCCGGTCGCCTTCTGGAGCCCCCGGAAAAAGGAGCTGCTGCTGCTGCTGGCTGTTGCTTTTCGTCGGGCTGATCTGCTTCTCAAGTACGCCCGGCAAGGGTGCGGGAGGGGAAAGTAATCCTGAGTGGGGTGGGATTTGGCGAAGAAAAAAAGTAGGTAATCAAAAACGATCAATAAAAACTGAGTTGGTGTCGGAATGGGCTTGAGAGAATATCCAAGTCCTTGGGTCCTCTTATGAACTGTCTCTGCCTTCACTTGCTCTCTGTCTTGAACCGCAGGGCGAGGATGTCCGGAAGCGGGGTGGAAAGTCCAGGTCGAAGCTCAAAGCATCTGGGATTCTCGACGGCGGGCCCTTTCTTTTTAGCGTGCAGAAAGAGCTGAGTATCCCCTTTTCTCTTGTGTGCGCGAGCCGGCTAGTGAAACATGGGAGCAGCTTCGGATAGGCGTGCCAGGTGCCAATGTTGCATTTCTCTCTTGGGCCAGGAGTGAGGGGGGAACTCCCTTCTGTTTGTCCCATCGCCCAGAAAGCGGGACTGAGCAGGGAAGTTATACCAGGAGGAGGAGGAGGGGTCATTGGTCTCGTCGCAAGTCGTCAAGTATGCCCATGGTACTCCACCGCCCAAGCCGCAGCACGGGCGCTAGCTCGCTGTGGCAGGCTGGCAGCAGAGGGAACGGATGAGCTGAAGAGCAACAAGCTTTTGTCTTTTTTAGTGCTCGTGGTCATGGCCATGCTCATGTCGGTATGTCGCTGTGCAGCTCCTTGCTGCGGCTTCGAGAATTGAAAGGTACTTCGTCTGTACTTTCCGGGTTGACGGTGGGCGGAGCAGGGGGTGGGCTGGTCTCGAGGATCAGGTACCGAAAGGTAATCGAGGGGGGCCGCTCCAGGATGAGGCATGTAAGACGTTCAATAAGCGTTGGAGACCTCTTTCGTCGTTTTGACGGCCGTCCATTCCGTCAGTGACTAGGATATGTCATCTGACCAGCATGAACAGACGGCGTGGCAGCGGCAGCCCGTGGCCATCCGAAGACAGAGAGCAAGTGTGGTTGAATGCAGAGGAGTGATATGTAATTCTTTGGAATTCTGACATGTGCACATGGCACCCAGGAAGCGCGAAGATGTCAAGTCCTTGCGCGCTGGACTGTACGTATTTCGCTTGGCCATGGCAGATGCATGGAATCGTGGTGTTGGTAGGCAGAGAAGAGTAGGTACTCCGTAGAGCAGCAGTAGCGGCAGCAGCAGATTTCCGATTCGGGGGTCCTTCGGGCTCCCGGCTTGATAATATGAGGTGGTCCCCACGAAAGGGAGATGGAAGAGGGCAGAAGAGGGAGATGAAACTTACCACCGGCTTTTCCCAGATAAAACCCAACTTGTCCATGTCCTCCTCCTTGTGGAAGCTGCAATACCTGACCCTCGGAGATGGAATGTGGTCCAGACACAGCGGCTGTTCCACCGCGACTGGCGCTTCTAGTGCCGCGGCCGTTGTAGGGTGGGCCTTGCACGGCACCCGGCGCATGTCCCTGGCCAAGCCGCGCGTACATCGCCCAGCGGGCTTTGCACCTTTCGAAAGGTGTCATACCCTTTGTGTACGGATACCACATATTTTGTTCTCGAATGACAGCAGGGGTTTTCGTATGGGCCGAATCAAGCTAGAACAGAGTTGGGAGGAACCCGCGGGATCGTGTGGCGCATACCGGGACAGGTGGACGAATGTCGAAACACTGTTGGCGATGGTGGCTTGTAAATCCGAATATCGATGCTCTGGAATGCGAGATGAATAGGCCGGTCGATAAGTTAAGCTAGGAAGAATCGCTTGACGAGAACGCCAAGCGATGAAATCTGGATGAGGTGGGCGTAAGAATAATATCAGGTGTGAGGTCGAAGAAGAAGTGTGGTGCGGTGAGGTTGAAGGCTTCTGTTGAGAAGATATTATTTTTCTCGAAGCAGAAGCAGAAGCAGAAAGAGCAGGAGCTTCACCATTGCGCCTTCCTGCTTCCTGCCGTTTTTTTTTTTCTGCCTTTTTTTTTACCAACCGACGGGAAGGAAGGCCCAAAGGGTCGGTCGGTCCTCCCTCACATGGCCTCGCTTGCTACCCGTCCCGTTCTACAACTTGACGGAAGCTTGGAAGGCGCGCTGGATGTTTCCTGGCTCCTTCCCAAGGCACCTTAATTAGATGCGGCACGGCAACATGCACGGAGAGCAACATTAACGGGAAGATGCATCTGGCCGAGACGAAGCAGCCAATGATTCTCACCATCTCAGTATTTCAAGGTTCAGATTGGCATTAGAAGACGTGATGTCGCGACACAGACAAGGCGGCAGCGTTGCGCTGCAGTCAATCCCTCCAAATCCACCTCATCAGGTACCTTCACTGCCTAAGGGCCTTTGGTGGCTGCTTGCTGCATCGCGTTATACACAGTAGAACGTGCAGAACACCCCGCCCCCATGTCCTGCCCCTGTAAGGGAGAAAGAAATCCATGGAGGAATTCCAGTCAGGCATTGGATGGATCACTGGAGCCTGCGCCACTGTCCGACCGTTGACCCCAGAGGCCCCTCTCAATCTCACAATCTAAGGAACCTGTTTTCATCCATTGCCTTCCATTGTGCCCCATTATCCGTACTCAATACGGTCATTTCATTTTTCATGCTTCTTCTTATGAGATTTTATGTGAACCGTACCTTACTGACCACACTCATAATACCAGTCAATCCATCTCCCTCTCGTCTCACTATGCAAAGGCAGGAATGATCCTGTATGTTCCCATGAGAAACTCACTCTCCAAGCCTAACCAATCACTTACGGTGTCCGAGTGTTGGTTGGCAATGAATGACATTCACACCACAAAGTCCCAAAACTCAATCAAAAGTCATCCATTCGGGTATCTCGCGTTTCCCTGCGCAGCCCGCTTTGCTCAGCCACAATGTCAAATTCGAGATTGTCTTTTTTGCTCTGTTTCCAAACATAGAAACAGACCCTTGCTGCTTGCATTTCTCGAGTGACCAACGAGTGACTTTGCATACCTTACCGCAGCTGCCCGTCCCGTCCTTTGGGGGCCAAGTCCCCGATCGCAATCGGAATCGCTTGTCTCGTTATCGTTCTTTCCACTGCTTGGCAGCGGCGGCTTCATGAGCGATATGAATTTGGATCGATTTGCGCAAGTCTAAACGACTAAAATTGAAATAAAAAGGGATACAAAACTCATTCGAACGCATAGCCTTCAAAATAACGATACTATTCCGACGTGTATTCGGATACATCTCGAAGGAATGCATGTCTCCTGACAACATCACTCGTCACCAGAATTACTATGGAAGGAAATGCAAAGAAAAAAAAAGAAGCGATCCATGGCATTATGTAGGGCCGTGAGCCAACATACGCTTCCACCATCAAGGCTGGAATTGTACCGCTCGGCCATCGACTACAACGGACGGTGCTTGTTGGAAATACCTTCACCTTTGCTCGCTATATACCTCTCAACGCTCACCAAGTGAAGGTCGGTTTCTAACTATAGGGCACAGACTCCGAACTCATAGTCTTCTTGTCTAGCATCAAATCTCATCCTCGATACGTTAATACCTTCATGTGCGTGCAGGTGCACTCCGGTCAGGATCATCGCAGCACCAACTCATACCTCCCACTCCCACTCGATGCCGGCAGCAACTCTTCATTCCATGAATTCCTGCTTGGCGCTCCGAATTTCCCCAAACCCACGTCATGGATGCCACAACGGCCATCATCCGATCCAACCCGTCCCATCTTTCCACCCAAAAGTAACCATCCTCTACCAGGCCATGCCCTGTTCACCAAGCCATTGAGCGTAACCTTACGCAAGTAGACTCCAGAGCCGACACTCAACAGCATACTTCATCGCCGGCGTGATTCGGAGAGACGAGACGAACGCTCTTTGGCTGCAGTGCGGAAGCATCACGCTAAAAGAAATCTCCAATATTTCTAAACTCCATCTGCCCACCCATCGACACGTGTTTGTTCTGCACTTTACTTCTCCGGAACTATGCTTCTTTTTTCCTGCTGCTGCTGCTGCCCGTTAGAAACGATTTAGCCGCGCGTATACCTAGCGCCGTGGACTCCAAAGGCTCATGTGTCACCACCGCCTAGGATTCGGTTCCCGACGTGTGTTTTGCGGCAGATCGACACTTTAACCCAACCTTAGCCCACGCATGCTTACTATTTTCATCCTCTATCCACCTATCGATTATCAAAGTCACCTTCCCCTGTTGATCACGCGTTCTTCGTGCATCCTAGGGCCGAAGGATTCTTGTCTCCGGCATTACTCAGCAACTTGTCTTGAATTGGGTTGCTGTGATGTTAGTTTCCACATCATGTAAGTGTCCTCTCTTGCTATACATGTTCTCGCCTGTTATTGAGTCTGTCAGCACCACGCCGGCACGAAGACTCTACGCGGACGAGCAAGATGCTCGCATTATATTGCATGTCATAACAATGAAGACAAGCGAGGTGGATCGCGTTTCCCGTACCAGCATTTAGAGTTAAGATCTTGGAGGAAATTAATCAGGGGTGCCGTCCTAGTGGTTGCCAAGGACACTCTTCTTCCAATCTTCCTTGCCTATGATGACCATCTCACGAAGCTGCTTATCAGTCGCCATCACAAACGGATTTCCTAGGTCGAAGACAACCAAAGAGTGCAACAAGGTGTACTGGTAGATCTCTCTTTCGCTTGTCCTCTCAAGTCTTTGACCAGACCATTCAAGAATCAAAGAAAAACTACTCTATTGTCTAAGCAAGGTTCGGAGTAACAGTCTATCCCAGTACCGGGCCCAGGATCTCTTTTCCTGCTGCTGGTCCAGCCCTTTTCAACCTTGCAGATCATACTAGTAGTGCCACCACAGCCCTATACAAAGATCATCCCAGAGACTACCAAAAGTCACAAAAATACTCCTCTAAGAACCGTTGGATCCACCGCCACTGTTACCACCCTTCCCAACACCACTAACAACGCAGTGTCCAAGAGACGGGTCACACTGCCTCTGCGGCGACCTGCGCCCGAACCCGCCGCTCACCTGCTCGGCCTCGTCCTCAGCCTCGACCTCCAGCGCCTCCATGTCGCGGGCGGCAACGGCGGCGCGCGAGGCGTCGACTTTGTCCTCGGCAATGACGTCCCCGAGCTGGAGGTCATCGCCCTCGTGCTCGGCGAGGAAGAAGGTGTTCGCGGGCTGGGTGCCGTCGCAGCTGGCTTGGGCGACGACTTTGCCCGCCGTGTCGGTGCAGTAGACTTTTGCTTCGGCTGAGGCGGCGAAGAAGGCCGCGGCGGCGATTTGGATGGTGGGGAGGGTGATGTGTTGGGTCTTCATTGTGGATGGCTTTTTGGAGTTGTTTTTTTTTGGGGATGGTTGAAAAAGGGTTGAAGTTGTTGGACTTGAAGAAGAAAGCGAAGATGGTTTTGGAAGATTGTTCGTGATCAGAGAGTTGTTTCTTAGAAGAGGTGAGTGCGTGATGATGAGAAAAGAAGGCTTTCATTACAGGATCAAGGCCTCTTATTTATGTCATTCGACCGGACGCCAGAGATGGATAAGATGGCGAGGCCTTCTAGTTACCCCAACAGGTAACAGGTTGCGGCGCAAAGAGTCGGCCACGCCGTAGGCAGACTTGGGATTCTCATGATTCCCCGATTGCACCTCACCATCATCTGACTCAATTGTTTCCGAGGTCAAGAACTTTGAACGGCAAGATTTCCATCTTGCTTTGCCCATGTCGCGAAGCAGTTTGCCAAGGTTCCCTTCACGAACGAGCCCGACAATCGCCATCGTCGCGGCTCTACCGTATACAAGGTAAGCTTGAGAATGACTTAATGTGGGTATACGGGCGTATTTCCTCCACGCCGACGGCGTTGCCAAGGTTGTTTCTTCGAATTCCGACACTGTTCGACCGTCTCGAGACGCCGAGTTCTCAAGGATGTTTCCAGACCTATCTACTCTGGGGGATTTCTTTCAAAATGTCGCCGTAAGAACAAGGAGGCCTTGGTTCTGTCGTGTGTCCAAAATCAAGGAACAACGTTATGCCAGTCATCACTCTTACTGCTTTACGAATCCACCCGGTTTATCGGTTCGGCTTACAAGCTCACTTACACAAGGCCACCCTGATAGCAAGGTATCACTCTCCTCCCACAATGTCCACCACGTGTTTCAATAAGTCGTAGTAATGCCTCAATGAGTAATCCGAGTAGGGACCATGATCGCCGAGTTGAGAGATGTTGTCCGGAGTAACCCGCGTTTCAAAGGGTTGTAGATCGTGTTGGCTCGGCTTAAACCGATGATACTCCGACGCTTAACAGAGACATGTTCACGACTGGCAACTCCTTCGAGACTCAACATCTTTCGCTCTCGCCCCACTCAACTTAAGTCATTCAGGAAGTTAACAAGTCATCATCATGACAATCCAGAGCCGGTAATTGATTCAAATCCATGAAAATAGTAATTCCCGAGTTTTGAGAAGTTGCCGTGTTTCATTGATTGTAAAGTCCAGACCATTAAGGCACTGGACATTATACTACAACAAAAACAAGCTTCCGCTAAACTTTTGATAGCCGCCGGGGGTCCTACCTACATTCTTGTCTCTTGCGGCAAACGTTTCCGGTTTCCCCACGTAAATGTAGATCTTAGCGGGGTTTCTGTAGAGTCATCCTGTACGATGCACTTTGCATGTAAACGACTCGAGCATCGCGAAACGCATTTCCGAACATGTCAATGTGATTCGCTTAAAACTGCCAATAAACTCAATTGCTCAGAAATCTTCAGTTTGACAAACAGAGTAGGTAATGAAGATGTTGAAAATGCGAGAGCGAAACTTTGCGGCAAGTCTTCCCGGATCTTCATGCGATGGTGCAGCTGCCAGACTCAATACCTTCTTGCTTTGAGGCCCTCAACTAACACCAGATCATTGGCGCACAATCACAACGACTACATCCATAGATTGCAAGCCACATAATTACAAGAAACCTCAGCCACCGCGGTGAAGCCGAGGTGGACAAGTGGTTGTCAACCAAGATCGCCATTGGGTTAATGCGCAACGCCAAGACCAAAGAGGTTCACAGAATTAATAGCAATTGTAACCAAATCTATTCAAATACGGCAGGCGAGCAGATCAAATCGCTTTCCCTGACTCGCCGACCCAAGGTGTCGGGAGCCCACATGATTTGCGTTACTCATGAGTCGTTTGAATAATACAGCGAACCAATGCGCGTGTCGCGACTTACACAGCTTATATTGCCTATATGGACAGAAAGGGCCAGAGATTAGCGCGCAGTGTCCGTGAGTTGCGGTTTCATCTTCTTGTTAGTGTGCAACCATTTCTGTAATACGGTTAAGCGGCAACGTGTCTTTGGGGGCAGAAAGAAAGAGAGAGGGAGCAGATCGTAATGGGATCCTGAGGAGATGTCAAAGCTTCTAGAAAGCCTCGTTTGAATTAGACTTCTTCTAGCGGCAAACTTAACTGGGGACATTTCCCATCCACCCATTAAACCCCAACTCAAAATAAGTGTCCGCAGGATCGGGACAATCAGAAAGGTGTCCGTATCAGAATTCAGGGTGTTGTAGATTAGGGGTGATCCCCGCCTCATCCGAACTTTGAATAGGCCTGGCGACTGCCCGAGGGCAGAGCTGCTGGTGAATAAGTATGTGAGACTGCCCTTTGGGGCAGCGGCCAAGCATCGTCATGTCTGTCCTTTGAGTTCCTTGTTCTCTGCTTGGTTTTACAACGTCCATACTCTACCATCGTCTTTCGTACCTAACTCCAGACCAAAAACACAACAACGATGCGCCGCGTTCCAGTACAAAAGAGGCCAAATGCCACCCGCCTGGTCCAAAGCCAAGGCCTCGTCTTCGCCGACCTCGTGGCGCCCGGCGCCTCGGAGCCGTACTGGCCAGACGACCGCTACTACTCCTTCACCGAGAAGGAGATGAACCTCCTCGAGGAAGCCGCCAGAGACGTCTTTGCCATGTGCTGCGAAGCAGCAGACTACCTCGTGGAGCACCCAGACATCATCACCAAGAAAATGGCCGTCCCCGCCTTCGCCCTGAAACAAATAAAGGCCTCGTGGGACCGCGAACCGGCCTGGGGCAGCATCTACGGCCGCTTCGACATCTGCTTCGGCGGCCTCGAGCACCCGGACCCGCGGCTGCGCGTGCCCAAATTCTACGAGTTCAACGCCGACACGCCGACGTCGTTGCTCGAGGCGGCGTCAATCCAGTGGCTGTGGATGGAGCAGACCGGCCACGGCAATGACCAGTTCAACAGCATCACGGAGAAGCTCATCGAAGGGTGGAAGCGCAACATGACGCTCGTCGAGAAGGAGCTCGGTCATAAGCCGACGGTGCACTTTGCTGTCGGCGAGGGCGAGGCCACCGGGGAGGATGCGATGAACACCATGCTTCTGATGGAGACGTGTCAGCAGGCCGGGTGGACGACCAAGGCGCTGACAATGGAGGAGATTGCGAAATCCAAAAAGGACGGGCGATTCTACGATGCGCAGGGGGAGCATATCGACGTCATCTTCAAGCTCTACCCGTGGGAGTACATGGTCGACCAGCAGTTCGGCGAGGCGTGTTTCGAAGACATGGAGAACATTGGCAAGCGCGACGAGGAAGGGAACTACGTCGGAGGAACAGTCTGGATCGAGCCGCCGTACAAGCTCCTGTGGAGCAACAAGGCCGTCTTTGCCGTTCTCTGGGACATGTTCAAGGACGACCCGAGGGGCAAGTGGCTTCTCCCCACGTACTTTGACAACGAGGCGCCGGCGTCCATGACGAGTTTTGCGCGCAAGCCCATCTTTGCGCGCGAGGGCGCCGACGTGGTGCTCAAGAAGGACGGCGAGATCTTGCAGGACGCGTCGACGGGAGACTACGGCGCGGAAGGGTACATCGTGCAGCAGCTCGCCGTGCTGCCCGAGTTCAAGGACGCCAAGGGCAGCTCGTGGTATCCCGTACTGGGTATGTGGTTCGTCGACGGCGATCCGGTGGGTATGGGGATCCGGGAGGATGGCACGCCGATCACGACCAACGCCTCCGTATTCATACCGCATTCGATTGAAGACGGGCCCGTCAACTACATGAGGCAGAAGATTCCCGACCAGGAGGAGATTGAGAACTTGTTGCGGGTCGAGCCGTTCTTTGATTCATTTGACAAGGAGGAGAATGAGATGATGAGCTATATCAAGAAGATTGTAATTTCGTAGCGGGCTTGCTCTGCGGGCGAATGTCCTTTCGGCGTGTTGTTCTTGGGAGGAGCTCGACGTCTACTTTAGCGGGAATGAAATTGAGAAAATACAGTTCCTAATAACTTTAATAATCGCCTCCTGACAGTTAACAATTTAGTATGAGAGTATTGCATGACATTACACTCCGATTTCCAATGAGCATGCCGGAACTCAGAAGTTGTGGACCAAAGTCCTGCGAGCGTACTTATTACCCTAGAGAGAGTTCGCCATAAGTGCCGAGACAGGTCAAGCCCGAAAGCCATGCGAATGTGGTCTCGCTTGTCGGTATTCAAAAGCAGCACATATCAGAAACTAGACGCGCGATGCGCAAGATGCCCGGCCTCGGCGAGACTGGACAGATGACCTCGGTTTCGCTTGCATTCTCGTCGACACAGGTAGATCTTGACCAGGTACGCTGGTTCGCCATATAAAAAGAAGCTTCCGCCAATTGCCCGAATGTCATACGCGTCGCGATGCTGACTTGCCGGATGGGAGGTGCGGGAAGACAAGCAAGACTGTCCCAGGTGCTGCCGGAACCCGGCACGGCGGGGTGCCGGGAGTAGGGGAAATCTGAAGCGGAACAAGGGACCGGGCCCGGCGATACCATCGGACCTTGCATCACGTGAACCACCTGCATTACCTCAGCAAAGGCAGTCGACGCTTCCGTTGATGACCATCTCCAAGGCAGATCCAAAATTACCTAAACCGAGAATGGCTAGCGCCGTAGTGGGCAGGACCCCTGCACGGACCTGGCCAGCTTGACGGCACCTTTCGTCAGCCTCTCAGCCTGCTGAGCCAAACACCCAAAGCGTCGAACCTACCTTACCTTAGCATCTGGACACTCCAACCTTTGACACGATCAACACCACCACAATTCCACGTCTCTCCATTTCCTCTCCACGAAACCACAACGAAGCAGACTTGTCAATCGACCTCCCATAACAGCAACTACCTGCCTCCGTTACACGACCGTTGCCGACATCAGTCCCCGACAACCGGAACACCACCAACCCAACCCACCCCGCAACACATACACACACACATACATAACCACCACCAAAAATGGCGGACCGCAACCTCCAACAGGTCCTCACCCAGCTCAAGACCAAAGGCTCCTCCCTCCCCTACGCCGAATCCTCCGCCCTCCTCTCCAAAGCAAAACTACACCTCCTCCAGCTCAACGCCCTCACCCCCTCGAACCCCAAAACCTCCCCCCAGCTCCTCGCCCTCGCCCGCGAGACCTACGAGCTCGGCGCCCTCGCCTCCATCCGCGCAAAGAACCCAGACGCCTTCACCCGCTACGTCCAGCAGCTCCAGCCCTTCTACGAGCTCCCCTCCAACGTCCTCCCGCCCAACGTCCCCGAGCGCAACAAGGTCACCGGCCTCTACCTGCTTCTCCTGCTCACCCAGGGCCGCTACGCCGAGTTCCACTCGGAGCTCGAGAGCCTGGCCAACCGCGAGGGCGGCGGCGATAGCAGCGCCGTCGAGGGCGACAAGTACCTGGGCTACCCCATCCGTCTCGAGAGGTGGTTGATGGAGGGCAGCTACGACCGCGTGTGGAACGCACTCAAGAGCCGTGAGGTGCCCAGCGAGGAGTACGGTGTCTTCTCAGAGGTAAGGCCCCCAGTCGTCCATTCTTTTCAGCTCCATGATGATCTATACAAGATATCTATACAGTAAAGGACCGTTGATGCTGACACTCTCATCCTCAAAAGATCCTCACCTTCCAAATCCGCTCCGAAATCGCCTCAAGCAGCGAGCGCGCATACCCAAGCCTGCCCATCAGCTCCGCGAAATCCCTCCTCTTCCTCGACTCCGAGGGCGACGTCATCTCCTTCGCCCAGGCGCGCGGCTGGATCCTGAAGGAGGGCCACATCTTCTTCCCCGACACCGCCGAGGGCGTCGCCGCCGAGGACGGCACCACCGAGAAGGAGATGAGCCAGATGGTGATAGAGAACGCGCTGGGATACGCCAGGGAACTGGAGACCATTGTGTAGACGTGGTTTTGCAGAGAGGAAAGGGGGCGTATGTTTTTGATGTATTAATATTCATGCGATTAGACAGACCATGAAAGAAGGAAAGCTCGGATACAGGAATCCAATCCGGGCGTTAACGATCTCATCATGAATGCGTTCTAGATAAGCGTGAAATGCATGTTCATCAACCTTGTCGGTCCAGATGGGCGGCGAGCTCTAGGACTGCACTGAGCACGCGGGGACATCGAACGTTCAATTGCGCTGGCACATCAGAGGTCATGGATCAAATGATGACATATATTCGTCTCCCACAAAACTATTGCTAACAATCAAAAGCCCGGGGTTTTCATCAGACACTCCAGTCTGTCTACTGTAAACTTTTCCCAAGACCAATTCCCCCATCGGCCAGCGTTACTGCACCAAATCATGCAGTCTTCACCCCATCATGGGTCGGCGACATCTATTATACTAGCTAGCTCTCTCTACGCGAAGAGCTTCAGGCCACTGCCGTGCTTGCCAACCTCGCACACCCCGCAGACCTTGCAAACGGTGCCCTTGTACTTGCTGTGGTACTTGGAGCCATCAAAGGCGCACTCCTCGTAGGAAGTGCCGCTGTAAATGGGTGAGTGGCTGGCTGCGCAGATATCAAACTCGGCAAACTGGTCAAATTCGATCTCAATCGCATCTGAGGGGTTGCGCTCGCATTGAGCCTTGGCTTTCTTGGCCTGCAAAGGGTGTCAGTCTGGGAATATTTGGGATCAAAGGTTGATACTCACGTTTTCAGTCAGCTTGCTGGAGCCGCCATTGGCAATAATGCGGTTGGCAAAGCTCAGTGCTGAACCGTAGTTCTTGTTTCTTATCGCCAATTGCATCGCGTTGTGCAGGGCCAGCTGGCGATGAGGAACCTCAATCTTCGGGATGGTAAAGTAGGCTGACAACTCAAGGTTGCGCTTGAGCTGCTCGCCAGTAGTGCCGAGCTTGCGACGGCTGAGCTCAATCTCCATGGCCACGGCATATTCGCTGGCGGATGTGATGAGCTTCTTGGCCTCGGCGACCTCGCTTTCGCCTGAAACAGCATTGATAAGGATGGCATGGAGGATACCCTTGAAGATCTGAAGACCGTCCTCGAGCTTGTTCGTCTTCATCGAGTTGTAACCCTGTTGCAGATCGTTGGTCGCCAGGAACTCGAGATCCCTGGGCACAATCGGCAACACCTTTCTAGGGTCCGTCTCCTCAATCGTACGTCGGACATAGTTGACCAAAGGAGGAAGGTTTGCAGAGGCCGGGAGATACGTTTTTGATGCCTGGTAAACTTCGAGGAAGCGGGGCTTCAGCGGCGCAAAGTTGACCGCTCCCACTTGTCTGTTGAGGAGTTGCATTGCTGACTCAAATGAGCCACCAGCAACATGATCCACAGCCAGAGGAGAGTTGCGAGCCCAGAGGTCGGCCTCGCTACTTCCAGCGCCACCAGCGTCGGCACTGTCAACGTTCACGAAGTCGCCCTCAATCTCGGGAACGACATCATCACCCAGGTCCCAGCCTGCCGCATCCTCGTCATCGTCAACGTCGATGAGGTTGCCATTCTTCTTCGCAGCGGCATCCTCTTCGACATCATCGTCAAAGCCGTTGGCAGCTGCAGGAGTATCCTCCAAAGACAGTCCCTCAACCTGGCCAAGCAGGGCTTTCTCGAAGACAGACTGGGAAGTAGCCTTGGTAGGCCAGTTTGCCTTGAACGTGGGGACGACGGGCTTAGGGGGCGTCAAAGCCTCCCCAATCGTAGGCGTCTCCAGTTGGTCCTCGGTGAGACCAGTGGCCTCGAGAATAGCCTGGCACTCCTCCTCCAAGCCGTGGGACTTGGCGGTCATGTATGCCAACGGGTCTATGTCTTGTTAGTTGAGATCTCACTAATGCTTACGTTGTGACAAACTTACACAGGTCGATTTCCTTGAACATCTGGATCCTGTCCTCAACCTCGCCGAGGTAGAGGGCGTTCTGGAAACGTGCAGTAAAGTCACCTCTGTGTTCGGCAATCTTGGCCATACGTGCCAGCTTAGAGTGGTCACCGGTAGACAAGTACAGGAATGAAAGCTTGTCGAACTGCTTGAGCTTTTGGTAAGCCATCTCGACGACCTGGTGGTTTCCGTGAGCCAAAGCCTCGGCGCTCAACCTCTGCCAAAGCTTAGGACGATCCAGCTCCTTGGCAGTCTCGACAGCAACGTCCAAGTTTCCGCACTCGATTGCGAGCTCGAATCGGGTCGCGGGGTCCTGGACGAACTGCAGAGCAATCTCGGGGTATCCCTTCTTCTGAAGGTAGGAGATGATGGATTGACCAACAAGACTGGAGTTCTGAATGATGTGGAGCATCTCCTCGTAGTTACGCTTGACGAGGGCCAGTTTGAATCGGTATTCGGTGGGATCGACGTGGAGAACCTTGGGCTTGGCCGCTCTGTCAAGGCAGTAGACGTTACGGCCCTTGACACGGACCAAATAGACAGTCTGGTCCAGGGTGCGGACGATACCATTGTCTCCATTCAGAAGCGTGTACTTGATGTGGTTGAGGGTCGAGTACAGCAGAACACCAGCATCATCCCAGGTTGCACTCTTGATTCGGATAGTCTCGTGCAATGTGCTGACCTGCTCGAGGGTCTTTGTCACGATAGTGACGTTGTGCTTGCTCAAAAGTGCCGCGTACAGTCCGTCATTTGACCACACAACGTACTTGACACCGTTAACAGCCAACTCGGCGACGCTCTTCTTCTGCCCGATGTCGTAAAGATGAACAGCTGTGGGGGTAATGATGAGGAGGTTGCCGGTACCACCGAAGTAGATGTCGCTGGTTCCGACGGGAGGCTTGAAGGAACGGGTCGTGTTGTTGGAAAGGTCCTTGATGTCGATTGTCTGGCTAGACGTGTTCAGGACAGCGAAACGGTTGCGAGCGACGAAGATGGCCGAGTTGCCCTGGCCGCGCTTCGACTCGGTGGGCTCAATGGCACCGGATCCATCGCGAGGAAGGTTGATCAGTTCGTAAGATCCGCTGTCGGAGGGAGAGGTGACGAGAACGGAGCGTTCGGCCGGGTTGTACGACAAGGTTCGCGGCGGGGTCCAAGGGCTTCCAAGCTTCTTGAGAGAGAGTAAAGTCGGGCTTTCGGTACTCTTCTGGAAGTCGTAGGATCTGACATGCTTCTCCTTGGTGATGTAGAAGAGGTTGTTCTGGTATACTGACGATGCCGGTCTCTCTCTCTCCAGCTTGAAGACCATGACACCGTTGTCGTGGCCAGCAGCAAACAAGTTGATTTCGGGGTGGGCGGCAATGACCCAGAATCGGTCGTTCTCGCGCTTGAAGGACTGCACCGCGGTGCGCTTGTTGAGGTCCCAGACGCGGATGGTCTTGTCCTCGCCGACAGACAGGATCAAGTCTTGGTGGGGGTGGAACAAGCAGCCAGAGGCGTTCTGGAAGTGTCCTCTGCAGGTGTCGACCTCCCAGGCCTTCGTTTCGCTCATGCGCCACAGCTTGACGAGTCGGTCATCGCCAGCAGACACAATCAGCGGCATGGTCGGGTGGAAGGCAACCCAATTGACACCGCGGTCATGGCCTTCCAAGACAAACTTGACAACAGCATCGGTGTTACCAAACATGTCGGTCTGGTTTTGGTTCGCGCGCGCGACCTGGTCTTCGAAGGTCATCGATGTCGGGGCCGAGTGCTTCTTGCGCAAGCCGGAAATGTCCCAAACTCGGACAGACTGGTCGAGGGAGGCAGAGACGACGAGGTCTTCCTTCGGGTGGAATTGGGCGCACATTGCGTAGTGGTTGTGTCCTGTCATGGTGCAGACTGCAAATCAAAGTTAGTTGCCTTCACGGCCATCACGGGATCCTAGGGATTGTGCGCACTCAGAGAGCGGTTCTGCCAGTTCCATATCCTGATCGTCTGATCGTCGGATGCCGACAGAATCCATGGCAATTCATGATGGAAGAAGACGGTGCGAACGTAGTCGAGATGGCCGTTCAAGGTGAAGAGGCATCGGCGGGTCTGGTAGGACCAGACCTTGATCTTGTAGTCGTCACCTCCAGAAACGAAGAGGGGTTGTGTCTTGTGGAAGTCAATTCCTCGAACCGGGCCATCGTGCTCTTCGAATCGATCGATCAATGTTCCCATGCGGTAATCCCAAAGCTGAATCGTGGAGGAGTGAAGTGCGACGAGGATCCATGGTCTGGTAGCTGTTGGTCAGCAAGGGGGCAGACTCGAAGATGGGAAGCTATGGGTTGAGAGCTCACCTCTTGGGGTGGAAGGCGATGCCCTTTGCGCGGGAGGACTTGGACTCGAACTGTACACTACGTGAGCAATGGACTCAAGCAGAAGATAGGATCTCGTCAGAGATGCAATGCGCCGAGGGCGGAGCGTACCTTGGTCAACATGCCCGAGGAGGCCTGCATTTTGGCGGGGAGGTGAAGCCGGAGCTTCTAGCAACCAGCAGGGGGGAAATCAGGCGGCACCTCTGGAGAAAATGGGATTCAAGTGCAAGCCAGCTTACCGACCGAGAAAGGCTGCAGCTGGAGTGAAAGGGGATGGTGACATTCACGGGTCACGAAAAGAGGACGCGGTGAAGGGGTTGGATGCGTAGAAGTATCCGTAGTGAGGTAGAGAGATACGTAAAGGCCACTTCCTCGTCTCAGAGCCCCTAGTAACAATTCCGCTTCGTGGCCATCTGTAAAGTGTGGGTTATTTCTGTGGGTCCAACCTAATGGGCGCCGATTGACAGGAGCTGCCCGCATCAGAGTTCCGCCGACAACCGTGTCCTCACCGCCCGCCCCTTGCATACGTACCTTTGGTGCTTAGGTAAGGGTTTGCCAGGTGCCTGGGGACATTGACTCTCCCTTTCAATGAGGTGCCACGCTGCCAGATGGGGAGGCCTGGACTGAGCGAAGCTGAGGTAAGCAACTGCCCCTCCAATAGGCCCGTTTTTCTGCCGTTTCTCCCCGTGGACCTAACACCCCTGGCAGAGGAGACGCTAGTCTTCTTTGGTACAGCTCTTTTGTCAATGTGTTCAGAAGGCGCGTTCACTTACACCAGTCCCCCAGACCGAGCACCTCCTAGTATTATCTACCTACCGAT